GGGTAAGAGGTGGGGGGGAAGAGGTTTAGGAGGAGTGGGTGAGTTTGGGGTGAGTGATGGGAATGGAAGAGGGGTGTGACCAAAACGGTTGAGAGGTGAAGGGGAGGAGCAGAATTTATCATCGTGGAGTTTTGCCAAGGTGATTGCGTGGGGTAAGTCTGAAGGTTGAAGTGCGGTTACCTCACAGCGAAGGTGGGGTTTAACGCCAGAAAGGAAACAACTGAGATAGAAGCTTTGTGGGTAATCTGATATATGATTGACCAAGTTCTCAAACTCAGAGAGATAATCATGGAGACTTTGTGTTTAAGTAAGTTTGCAGAGAGAAGCTATGAGATCATCGAATTTGGAGGGAGCAAATCGCAGCTCCAGGGCTCGTAATAAGGCATCCAAAGATGTTAAGAGTCCATTGTTAAACATCCACTGGAACCAAGCTAGAGCTTGTCCCTCAAGGTAGAAGGAAGAGATCAGATTCGTTGATCTGTTGGTGTTTGGTGAAACTCAAAAAATTGGTTGACCTTGAAGATCCAACTGAAGGCATCAGAACCATTAAAGGTTGGGAGGTCGAATTTGAGAGGTCTGGTGGGTACAGAGAGTTGTTGTGTATGTGGTTGGGATTCCAGAATGGAGGTGCGATTAGCAATGTCATGAAGTGTATTAGAGAGGTTGGCGTGAGAAATAAGGATTTGTTCAAGTTTTATGTTGAGCTTGGTGAGCTCATCCTGAGGAGAAGGATACTCAGCCATATGGAGTAGTGGTCAATGAAAGCACCAATGAAAGGTACTGCTATAGAAGGAAGGAGTAAATAACAGAAAGGGAGAGAATTTTCAGAGAGAAAAGTTATACTTTATATTTCTTGTCTCCTTTTCACAACAACAATGTGTTATATATGCATAAATGGTAACTGCCTTGCAGTACTAATCATATGCAAATAAAAATAGGAAAATACAAGGACTATTTTCAATCATTCCTTCCTAACTGAATTTCCCTTTTTACGGGAAGCAGGACATGTGACCACATAATCCTTTAGGTGGCATGGTTGGTAAATGATTCTTTTGGGGGTCTTTTCGTGTGCATCCAGTGAGGTAGGCGATGGAATAGAGTCCTTAATTGGGCTGTTGGGCAGATTAAGGATAATGGGCCCTATGGTCCTTACAGAAACCCATGTAACCAAATTATTTTCTTAAGAAAAATTTCTACTATATCATGTGCAATAAAAGAATGGCCTAATGGTAAGAAGTGGGCATATTTGGTGAGTCTATCAACCACCACCATGATGTTATCCTTACTCTGGGCTTTTGGGAGACCTTCTACAAAATTCATTTAAATATCTAACCAAACTCATGTGCTAATAGGTAGGGGTTGTAAGAGACCTACAAGTGTTAAGGTTTGATATTTGTTTTGCTGACATACATCACAAGACACCACGTACTACTAAATGTCTTTTCTTATTCCCTCCCAATAAACAAAAGTTGCTACCCTTTTGTATGTTTGAAAAAAAACCTGAATGTTTCCCCATTAGTGAGTTATGAAATTTAGATAGTAATATAAGAATTTATGAAGATCTTTTGGGTATAACTAACTTTCGATGATACATTAGTTTACCATTTTGTAAGAAAAATCCTGGGTGTGCATTTGAATCTTGGAGGAGACCTTGGACAATAGTTGTTAGCTTAGGATCAACTTGTACTTCTTCAACCTATTCTTCTAAATCCTGAAACTTAATCTTAGAGATGACAACATAAGTTATTTTTCTAAACAATATATCTATAACCCCATTTTTGTAGCCAGGTTTACACTTTATTTCAAAGTCAAATTCAATTAGTTTAGAGGTCCACTAAAGTTGTTCCTCACCTAATAAACATTGATCATTCAAAAATCTTAAACTCCTCTTATCTGTATGAATGATAAAATGTCTGTCTATTAAATAATGTTGCTACTTTTGTACTGCTAAGACGATTGCCATCAACTCTCTTTCATAGACCGACTTCAATTGGGCCCTCTTTGATAATGTTTGACTAAGAAAAGTTTATCCTCCTGTTATAAAACTGCCCCCAACCCTCTTAAATTTGGAACAGTGAGGATTGGTAGTTAAGCCATTACACCCTTTAACACATCAAAAGCTTCTTGGGCCTCCATACCCCACTGAAAATTGTCCTTCTTAAGTAGTTGTGTTAGAGGTTTAGCAATGCTCCCATAATTTTTAACAAACCTTCAATAATAGCTCGTAAGGCCTAAAAATCCTTGTAGCACCTTCACGTCTTTAGGAGCAGACCATGTTAACATAACTTGCAATTTTTTTGGGTTTGCTACCACCCCTTGGGCTGAGATAATGTGACCTAATTATTCTATTTGTTTTTGGCCGAAAGTACACTTCGTCTTATTGGCAAATAATTGATGTTCCTTCAAAAGTTGCAGCACTAGCTAAAAATGTTTTGCATATTCTTCCTCACCTTTATTGTAGATTAGTACGTCGTAAAAAAAAAAAAAACAAGGACAAACTTTCTCAAATAAGAGTGTAACACCTCATTCATTAACGATTGGAAGGTTGAAAGAGCATTTGGTTAATTCAAAGGGCATCGTTACAAACTCATAATGCTCTTCATGCGTCCTAGATGCAGTTTTAGGAACATTTTCTTTCTCTCATCCAAATTTGGTGGTAGCCTGATTTAAGGTCTAATTTTGAAAAAATAACTATGCTCCTTATTCATCCAACAATTCATCAATTATAGGAATTGAAAACTTGTCAGAAACTGTAATCTTGTTGAGCCTATAGTCCACACAAAATCTTCACCCTCCATCTTTTTCCTTAACAAGAATGATTATACTAGAATAAGTACTTAAACTCGGCCTGATGATACTTGAGATTAACATATCACTCACAAGTTTCTCTTTTTCAATCTTTTGGTAACGAGGGTACCTGTATGGCCATAAATTAGGTATTTCAAATCCTTCCTTCAACACAATGGTATGATCTTGTCTCTTAGTTGGTGGTAGACCCTTTGGTTCTTTGAATACTTCCTTAAAGTCTCTCAAAATCTTATGAATTTCTTAAGGAATGATGTTGTTGTTAGTTTCTTTTATTAATTCCTTGCATTTGAAGAGTTTGCATTCTAGGAGAAATCCTTGTCATTTTTCTTGTAAAGTTTTGACCAACTCTTTGAAAGTCGCAGCGTTTTTGAACAGTCCTAATTTGCCTTACAATACCATAATTTCCCCCCTTCACAGTCACCTTCAATAAGAGTTCTTTAAAGTTAGCTTTAATTTCTCCTAAGTCAGCAATCCATTCCATTCCTAACACCATGTCCACTCCTCCTAGGTCGAATATGAAGAAATCCTGTTGAATCTTTAGTCCCTGAATTTGAAGTACTATCCAACGAAAAACCCCTTTACTCTTAATTCTTCTACCATCCCCTACTTCCACTGTGTATGTTACTGTCTCGGTTACAGGTAACTACTTTTTGAGAATAAATGTAGATGATATATAATTGTGGGATGCTACACAATCCACTGATACAGCCACCTTTGTGCCTTCAATTTCACCCCACATTTTGATTTAATTTTTGGAAGTTAATCTAATAATACTACACATTGATATTTGCAATTCTTTAAGGTCCCTTCCTTTTTCCCCATCGCTAAAATCTCTGCTTAGGATTAACTCCTGAAGTTGCTTATTTTTGCAAACATGTCCAAGACCAAATTTCTCATTGCACCAGAAACACAATCTTATTCTTGTCTTGTCTTCTCTTTAAACTTTGCATTTGTGAATTTCTTGAACCCCCTCCCTCTATAAGATCCGATTGTTTTCCTGCTGTTGGACTCAACAAAACTAATTTTCTTGCTATTTCCAAGATTTTGGTTCTTGGTTCCCGTCTCCCATACCACCATTCTTGATGAAGAATAACTTTTGTGCGAATCCCTATTTTATGACTCCTTGAAACCCCTTGGCTCAACAAAAATTCTTCTCATCAATTCTTTGAACAAAGTACATCAATTCTGGTAGAGTGGTTAACTAATGTCACTTCAATTCTGCCCTAACTATGTCTTTTAGTCCATTCAAGAATATCCCTTTTAGATACTCTATATTTGTCTCCTTATATGACCTTGCATACAACTCAAATTGCTCATGATACTCTTCCACCTTTGTCCTTTGTTTAAGACCCAACAACATTTCATGAGTTTTGTGCCATCGTAGACTAAAATCTCCCTATTAGAGTTGTTTAGAAATTGTCCCAAGTAGGGTTCTTGGAACAAAATTCCCACCATTAAAATCAAGTTAGTTCTTTGCCCTCCATTGCCAATTGCAGCTTCTCTTACTCTAAGATACCCCTTAAAGTAAATTACCTCTCTAATTGACTAACCCACCCGTAATCGTTGCCTCCAGAAAATAGAAATCTCTAATTTTCTCCACCAATCTCCTTTAGATTGACGTCTTGACCCACTACCATTGCTAGAGTTCCCTTGCTCTCATTGTTGCTGCCCTCTAAATCACTTTTTATTACATAGAGCTTTCTTACATAGAATTCTCTAAATGGGAGTTTAAACCTACTACTAACAAAGAAATATTCATTAAGAGACAGATGCACAAGTCAAATGGACAAAATTGAAAAATAAAAGATAATGTGAAGAACTACACATTTTATTAGCATCGATTAATAGATCACATTGAAAATTAAACTGAAGGATAAAAAACCAACGAGGGAATGCATGAAAAACCATGAGGAACTACGGAAAGTTTTATAATCTCAAAAAACTATTTTGTAAGTTTACTGAAAAAAAGAGTACAATTTATTACATATAAACGTAGATAATAAATCGGCTTTCATGAGGACAAAAAGGCAGACAAACATAAGATTAAGCTTAAAAATCCATTAGTAGTAGAGTTCCCTTGTCAACTTTTCTTCATTCAGGAAATAATCGTGTTAAGTCAACAAGTAATTGAAAAAAGAAGATTAAATACAATTGATAGTCAAATTTAGGAAAATGCAACTTTCAGTCTAAAGACTCGAGGTAACTTAACATGCAATGCTACCTCATGTATTAATTCTCAGAAACAAAGAATTATTTCACTAAAAAAGTAAACTATCAAATGGTGGAAAAGGGTATAACATGCCCTACGTAATCTCCTGAAGTTACTCCATGCAGAACCCCTTAGCTCAACTTACTCTTGACAACATCAAAATCCCGTGTGAATACACACAGAATCTACGTGCTAACTCATACACGAATCAAATAAATAATTCCAGTAACTTGAGGATTCTGAAGGGAAAAGCCTAAGCCTATACATTTAAGTTCACCCTGTTTCCAAATCTCGCACGAAGGTTGTCGTATGTTTGAGAAACCAATAGAAGTCGTGGATCATCCTCAGGTATCTCTCGATCCTGCAATTCCACACACAACACAGTGAACATCAATAGTCCAGTCATGGGAAGATAGCTTTACAAAATGATATGTGACCAGTATAAAACTATTTTAAAGAGTAAATAAATCAACAAAGAAGACAATTAAGGAACTGGTCAGATAAGTAAACTTCATGTGGCTTGAGTGAAATGGATTCCACTTGAACTTCAGAATGAGACAAGAATAAGGCCTCATCCCAAATTTTTTCATATCCTTCAATTGTATTTCAAATTCAACAATTCAAGCATTTTAAAGTATATCTGTATAAGCAGTCACTCTGAGAACATAGAAATGAAAACTTCTTGTGTTTCTTTCCATGCAAAAAGACAATTCACTTTTCCAACCTTATATGATTTCAATCTTGATCCACGATTAATGTAATTATATCATCGTCAAACCATTGAATAGCCCGACCACTAAAAGAGTTTGACAATGATAGTAATTACATCAGAAATTAAATTTAGGGGTGTAACAAAACAAGATTGGATAGTACAAAAAGGTCACTAGTGATAGTGGATCAAAATTAAGCTCATACCAATTATTATCTCAAATGGAGATAAGAGAATTTGCAACCTTTGCAATGTGAGATCCATAACTTTTTACCACAAATATGAATATACATACCATCAAGAAATAATATTTGGCACATATAAACGTGATGCATTACTGAGACAAAGAACTCACTTTTAAGCCCTGGTAATATGCTTCTACTGCAGCAAATGAAGGGTTAACTTTGCGAGCTCGCATCATGTCCCATATGAAGTTAGCAGTCGTATATCCCCCCGTCTAAAATTTGAGAAATAAGAAGAAAATACACACCTTAAAATACACAGCAACAAAGATAATCTGTCTTGTATTGAGCACATAACAAGAGAAAGAGTTTGCATTTTGCAACTTTGCATACCTTTTCACCAGCAGCTATAAGTAGGAGTTCACTTCCCATTTTTGAATTCACAAAGAAATTTCTTTCGTTCATCCTTACCTGCATTTGTAAAATTAAATTGCAAGTCTTTAAACAGACCAAATAAGTCACGTTGTAACCAAGAGGCTATGATAACCTACCAGAATATCTTGAGCTATTTGCATTCCTTTTTCAGTGTACCCAGCCATTGCTCCCTCTGCAAGTGTCTGCAGGCATGCTGGTTTGTTATTCATTATGCATTTCATACAGATTAACAAAAATTATCATTAAGCTGCTCAGTTTAACAAGGTAAAATTCCTGGACTACAGCAGCAACAGTTAAAGTTATCAGGGGGGGATATAAACGGTCAGCCACATAAACTATGTTTTCTAGATGTTAAACATCAAATGCAACATGAGAACACAAGTAGAAATTAAGGAGAAACCCACGCTAGCTACACCACTGCCATAAGGGTACTTATCCACATTATTTCTTAAATCAAGAAGATTGTTCAAGAAAATATCAGCGTTCAACAATTTCAGGTATAGTAAGTTCTAGAAACTGTATGAACAAACTTACCGTAAAAAGTTCTGCAGCAATAGGCTTTCCTGAATTTACACAGTCATCAAAAGTTCGAAGACCACGGTCAATATCTCCTGCATGACAATAGCACCTGCATAATAATGGTAACTAGAGATAAACTGCGTTTTTTAATAATGCAATTGGAAAACAAATACCAATTAAATAAAACCAAAGGAAGGAATAAGGATCGTCCATAGAAGAAGTTCAACTTGCAACCATATTTGCTTACTTCACCAACTAAACAGCAACCAAGTTGACCCAGTTTGAAGCTTAAAAGTATGCTTTTTATGAGTAATTCTTAGTCTATCATTAGCAGCATCCTCTAATTGGGTAGATTCAATTAAATTGTTTTTGTTCAAATTAAAAGGAAGGTGGAAAAGAAAGAACAGGTTTTGAAAAATATTCTAAGTTAACCTAGTGCTTTAAATCCCCATCATCATCTAGGTGATGTACTAGTGTAGTACAACTAGCACAAAACACAGCCTGATAAGATTACAAACATAATAAGACTCCTAAAACAAAATGTGCCGTTATATTCTAACAGTTGGATATCCAGTAAAAGAAAGTAAATCCAGCAGATGTAGCAATAAGAATGTAAAGCATCGAATCTGCTTGGTGCCCTGTGCCTCGTTTATAGTTGGATTATTTAACTGAGTGGGCTCAGAATAATATGTTTGTTGTGCAAACTGCAAACCAAACGATTTATTTTTTGTCCCATAATTCTCCACTACTATACATAAAATGAGACATCATGTGTTTTTTTTTTTTTCCCCTATAAGTATTTCTTTATAAATCATTGACTTACTACACTAGTCATTTTAAAATAGAAAACATAACTTTCATTGGTAATCTTATCTCTCATTCATTATTATATGCTCGAATAACTATTTAAATGGTATTTGCCTTCGTAGTTCTTCCTTTTTTGAGACATTCTATTTCTTAAACATATTGCTTCTGTTCTTTGCAAAACTCACCTTTATAGTCTAATGTACAAAAGTTAATGTCAAGAAAAATTAAAAGACCAAACGCTACATGCCTTTTCTTGATAGTTTACAATTATATTCCATACATGCACTCAAAAGCATTACAATGACAAGGGTGCATATAATTATTCATTTAAGGTGTATTTATATTCATACTATGAAATACCATTAGAAGAAATTGGCTGTTTTTATTACAAATCAATAGAAGTGCTTCGACTATTGAAAAATGAATAAAACAGAGAATCTTAAATGTTCACCAATTAGAAAGTTTTTAAATTATATTATACATGCATTAAGGTCTTTTTGGTTTAAAAGAAATAAAGGCTTTTTTATTTTTAAAACTATTTACCAAATTAATGGAGAAAAAAAAATATATTTACTGGTTTGGAGTGACTTTTACCTCGTGGCAGACCACTCTATTATTTTCTTTTAGGTCACATCAGTTTCACATCTCTGCAGATATGAAGTTATTTTTATTTTTTTTGAAAAAAATTAATAAGTTTCATATAAGAAACAGAAAGTCTTTAGTGCTGACACATGTTAACCAAGCAATAAGTTTCACCTCTCAAACAGGCACAACTTAAAGGTCAATGACACCTGTCATAACCGAAAACTGTCACATTTGCACAATATGAAGCAAGTGATGACACAAGATACTTTTGGAATAAAAAAAGGCACAATATAGTGAAAATAAAATTAACATCTAATATTCTTATAATAATTCTAATATAATAAAAAATTTGCAATCAAACAAATAATTAATAAATTTATAATATCATATAAAAAATTTAACGGAGAAAAAATGTTTAACTGATTGTATATTTATGTTGATATTTTAATTATTTTTTTTATTTTAAATATTGTGATAGCTAAATATTACAATTTAATATTCCTTTCAATTTATTATAATATTTCTTACTTATAATATAATAGGTAATACCTTTAATAATATTATAAAAATATTATATAAATAAAAAACAAACTAGAGGATCCTTAGCTTCCGCAATACCAAATAGGACCTATGGACACACTTCAATCCCTAAGTAATATTATGAGGAGGAGGAGGATTAAAGAGGTAGATGGTCTACAAATTACAATTTAGAGACTGCTGCTATTCTCTCGAATGATATTGTTATTTTCTTCTGATTCTTTTGTGATTTTGTTGTTCTTTCCTATAATACTTCTGTATGAGTTTGCAACACTTTATTGAGTTAACTTATCCTTTAAGGTATAATTTGCTAGAAAAATTTATTATATAAAAGCATATTTTTATTGTATAGCTAAATGACTAGTTATCTTATATGGTAGTAAATGCTAGGCTTTAAAAAACAACACAAGAAAAAGTTACGAGTTGCAAAAATGATAATGCTAAGATGAATGAGTGATTATACAAGAAACGACATAATAAGAAATGACTGTATATGTGAAAATATTAGAGTAGCACTTAAGGTAGAAAAAAATGACATAAAATCAATTAAGGTGGTTTGGATATGTGCAAATAAGGTCACTCGAGGCACCAGTGAGAAAAATAAATGACATGACTTTTAGCCTGGCAAAAACAAATGGAAAGACCCAGAAGAACTTTAGAAGACATGCATCCTATTTAGTAATAAATAATATTTCAAAAAATTTATTCTTAACCAAGTTCAATGGCACCACACAATCCTTGTAGCTGAACTCACCTAATAAGATAAGACTTGATTGTTAGCAGTTACCCTTGATATAAACTAAGAATCTATATTTACTTTCTATAAGTGTGTATTAAATTATATCATTTTTTTAATTATATGGATACAGGATACTAGCTTCAACATGGTGCCACCATATCATCCACCATAAAAATATGGCAGATGTTTGGGGCATGGCACCATACATCAATAACGGCTTTGAAAGAAATAAGAACGAAGATGAAGGCATGCATCAAAGACAACCAAAATAGAATCATTTAACCTACACACCAGTGATTAATATATTTAGCATCTAAACTGAAGAAAGCATAAATTACAGCTCATGGGCTCAGTTAATTTACATACTAAGACAAAGCTACTTTATGGTAGTATGCATGCTATCAAGTTATCTGAATAGGACAAACCATAGAAATTAATAACCAATAATTGATTACCTAATTACTTGCAACATAATATAGATATCAGGAGATTTCCCGTCCTTGTCTAGCATTTCCAAAAGTGTATCTGTCAACTGCCACAATAAGATATCAACCATTAATATATTAAAAGACACTTTACAACCAAAAAAATATATGGACATTAACAAAAGTGAAAAAAAACAACAATTTTGAATAGAAAACAAAAACAAATAGTGTCTGGCAGTTCAGGTGGACAGACAGAAGGAAACAATAGATGTGTGATGACATCGCAAACCTAAAATTAAAACATAATAATGGAAAATAATCCAACTTCCTGAAGTCATGGTGGAATGATTTCATGTTGCATATAAACAGATGGTATCAGAAGAAATCAGAAGCATACAAGAAGAATCATTTAACAATAGCATCAAAATTCCTATATACATGATACCTCATACCTCTACATTCTTCAGGTCAGCAGCAGCATTAAATGCAGTATGATATGCGGTAAATATTCTACCCAAAAATGCTCCACGCCTATGAGCATATTCTGCTGTTGGTAAGTTGTATAACTCCTCATCTGAAACACCCATCATCACGTTCTCAGCATTGCCACTGTCAGTTTCTACTGAAGACCATATCTTTGACCTCTCCACAAACTCAATAACCTTTTTCCACAGAATAATAAGTTAAATATCACTACACAATTACAGCACGCATGCATGGCAAATCAAGATATAAATAGGGTAACTACTTTTGCAGCAAAATCATCACTAAGAGGTGTTTTATTCTTGTGTGCAACTATAAGCCCAGCATAGCAGAACTTGTTTAATCCCAGACCAGCTGCAGTCATATCACGGACAACTGCATACCTGGATCAATAAATTTCAATAATTAAATATTCCAAAAAACCATAAACATAAAAGAGGAAATCTGATGCACACTTGAGCACTAAAAAAGACTACTAGAAGTTGGAAATCCATTCCACCTATCTTACTAAAAAAGTAAAAAAAAAAAAAAAGAATATAAATTGTAGGCAACAAGGTTTTATTTGTTAGACCATCAAGAGTAGCATCATATAACACATTGTGAAAAGTAAAACACCACCCTAGGGTATTGAACAACAATAAAAAAAAAGGATAGTATAAACAGAAAATGGAGTTCTTAAGGGGAGGGATGAATGCAAAAAGCATACACTTGGTCTAAGCGTCCATCGGCTGCACAAGCATGTAGCAAGCAGATGTAGGTTTGTACATTTGGCTTTATGTCCATGCATTTCATCTCCTCCAAAATCTTCATTTCAAAGGAAAACAAACAAAACATGAAACATCTAAAGAGATGAAGCAATAAACACTTTTACTGTAGTAGAATTTTAAATGCATGTCCATGAGAAGATATTGATAAGTACCTGAATAGCCTTATCAGAGTTCTTGCATTTCCCACAAGTTGAAATCAGAAAGTTGTATAAAGTTACCTATGTCATCCATAAGAGTCATTGATCCAGAAACATTCATAAGAGTCATTGATCCAGAAACATTAAAACTGTAAAGTGGAAGTTTATACAAATTACATTTCAAAATGTTTTGTGGGCTCATGGCATGTACTCTCTGAGAAAAGAATCAAAACAATGATTCTGCTCTTTCAAGTAGGGTCAAGGGAGAAAAATTAATAGCAACTGCAAAGCAACCATACATACTCCCAATCACCTTTGCATGCATATATGTATATAAAACAATACATTGCAAATTACAAACTGGCCTGCCTCTAGTTTCCAAAAATTTAAGTCACATTTTTTGACCTGAAGCCATAAAACAAATATAACCTAAGTATCTTTGGATCCATGCAAGCAAGGAAACTTGGAAAGGTTATAAAGAAAAGAAAAGAAAAGAACCTCAACAACTTTTGCCATCCCTCAAGATTATCCATATTCTACAAGCAATTACATTAGGAAGAGACCCCAGAAAAAGAGTTAAAAAACTTAGCAAGCTCAAGATTTAGAACTAGAATACATTCCGGTATAATTATTTCATTTCACTCATTCCCATTGAAATAAACAAGGCAACAGCATCAGAACTAGCTCAAATAAAAGTCTAAAGTTCAAACTTCAAATCACCTTACATGTCAGAGCCTAATTGAATTTCAAGCAACTAAATTGGTTTCTTTCAGTGGTCAACGGAATTAACTAAGTACCCATTTTTCAGCATGCAAATTCGAGCATTACACCCAATAATCTCTATAATCAATAACATCATTCCAAGCCTCAAAAAAAAAAAAAAAAAAAAGAAGAAGAAGAAGAAGAAGCAAATTCATGGGAGAGAAAAAAAAAAGGTGCATACATCAGGGACCAAACCCATGATTTTCATTTGGTCAATGAAGAAGAAAGCATCTTGCATTCTAGCTCCCTTCATGGTTCCAACAACAAGGGAATGGAAAGTGTCACGTGTAGGCTTCACCCCATCAAGCATCATATCATCGTACACATCCTTCAGCAAGAAATTCCTACCAAACAAACCCCAGATTAAAAAGATTAAAATTTTGCAAAAATTTATCAAAAGGGGGGGGGGGGGTCTAAAAAATACCTTCTTTGAGCAGTGAGAGAACCCAAAACGGTGTTGTATTCGGCGACATTGTTGGCATAGTTTCTCTTGGAATACTCCTCAGTTGAAACGGAGAAGAATCGGAGCCCCGAGACCCGACCCAATGACCCACCACGCCCTGCAAAACGGGTTTGAGCTAAGAAAAATAAGAACGTGAAGTTGAGATTCTGAAATCAGGGTTTGTATGTGGAAATGAAAAACAAGTAGTAGAAGAAGAAGAATACCAATAAGAGATTGAAGGAACTTCATGCTAGTAGAATCAATTCGGAACAGAATAGTTCCTCCTTTTGTTCTTTCCTCGTAAAACCCTGGGATTTTGTTTGTTGCTTTGCTTGTCTTGTTTGGGCTTTGGTTTGTTACTGGACAGTGAATTTTGGGCCTGGCCTCAATGTCCTATATGTACCTTGGAGTAATTACATTTTGTAGCACTATATTTCTTTTATCACTTTAAAGTTTAATTTTTAAAATGTATTTAAAAAATTAATTTTTAGAACTAGAAAAATGAGTGGGCCTAATTTATTGACTTGATTGTAACTGCTAAAATTTAACTATTGAATTATTAAATTTAATGCTTGAATAAATTGGGCTTTTAGCCCAATTTGCTTAAGTCCAAATCACAAGCAGGTTTGGATCATACTGGCCTGCAGGGACTTGGACTGCCCCCATTAATACTAAAGAGAAATGGTAAAAATGCACTTTTAATACCGCTTTTCTTGTTGAAAAAAAAAAGAGTTTTTAAATATTTATTTATAATTGATAAAAATTTATTATAAATTATAAAAATATATATGTCTCACTCCTAATTTAATGTGTCTAATTTATGTTTTTGTACTTTTCAAAAAGCTTCAACTATTAAATAAATTTATGTTAGAGATTGTGATATTTTGTATCAAGAGAATAAAATGTAAATATTTTAAATTTCTTGTGTACACAAAGTTCATTATACAGTTTTGTAGATAAGTTTTATTTTAAAAAAGGTTTATTTATTTGAAAGATTTAAGATTATATTGTTTTAAATGCGTTGCGTGAATTAATTTGGTGATGCTTTTTTGTTTCAAATTTATTACATGGAATGTGGTGGTTTGAGCTTTTTTTAATTTGTTGTATTGGATATGTTAATTTGGTAAGCAAAATATTATTAAAAATATAAAATGCAAATTCATAAACTTAATGTGTTAGAATAGTTTTTTTGAGTAAAAAATTAAATAAAATGGGTTGAAAAGTAAGTCACTTTACATATGTCTTCCATCTCATAAGGTTGGACTTGCAATTTTATTTTAAAGACTCAAATAACTTAGACTTTTTATCCCAACTCGCATAAGCTTGTTACCCACGTTAAATTGAGTTGAATAATTTAGATTGACAGTTCTCTTAAATTCTTGAAGTTATTTAAAAATTACTTTTGAATTTAATTTAAATTCAAAAAATTAAATTTTAAAAGTAACAAAAAAACTAGTAATACAACTAAAAAAAAGTAGTGTAAATTTTCTTTTGTACCAGTCACATAAACCCTAATTTTGATTTTATTTTAAGTAGGAATGTAAATATATTTTGATTAAGCTCTTTCTTTGTATGAGTAAGACTCCTTGTACCTAAAGTATATAAGTAGTAATGGGTGGTTGCATTAATGGAATAACCAGTTCTTCGAAAATGATGAATTACAACGTCAATCTTTATTAGATAAAGTGTTTATATTTAGTGTCTGATTATATCACAAACAAAATTCATTTTTCTAAAGGATATTTATAGGAAGCAAAAAAAAAAGGTTAATAGAAGTATTCAACTTTAAATTTTTAGTGATTAAGATTTTAATATGCTTTAGATTAAATAAAAGTAACCGTGTCCTTACTTATCGGCTTTATAGATATATTTGATATTTAGAGGAATTCATCTTGTTCATGTCTGTATAATCTCTATAATCAATTCCTCTCACCATAATATATAGACATTACAAAATTCTGTGGTTAAGATGAGTTTATTATATATTTTAATAATGTTAAACGACTTAGTTTACAATGAACAGATAAACAAAGAAAAAAAATATAAAATAAAATAATTGATGTAAAGACTACAAGAGATAACAATAAAAATGTACCTTGTAAAAAATGTTAATATGCATAAGTGATCTCTTTACTAAATTGCTCTCTTCAATTTCTAAATTGATTTCAAATGTTACACGATTTGACCAAGTTACAATATTGTAATTTGATTGTTCTGCACGATTATATTGTATGTACCAAATGAAATTGAAATTGGTGACACTCACATTCACGAACAAATTCAGCAAGATTTAGTAATAAAAAGATGACGATAACATCAATCACCCAAGTAAATTCAATTAAGACGAAGATAACTCAAACTGGGATTAATGATAAATCTAATTAGTTTTTGGCAAGTCACTCTCACTTTTTCAAAATGAAGTATTCGTTAATTTTCATTCTAATCAAATTTTTTTCTTAATTGGTTTGCTGATATTTTTTCTAATACATATTTTCCCTTCATGTTAATCTTCCTTGTGTTGGAAACAAGCTTGTGCTTATGTAGATGGTACACTGTTGATGATTTCTCACTATGGAACAAAAGAAAGGGCATTATTTGTCTTTGAAGCATCTAACCAAGAAACTTGTTCTAAAATATGCACGTTATTGATGCAAATTTATGTGTGTGTGAGCAATAAAAATTTGGACAAACCTTGTATAGTTTTTTTTTTCTTTTTTTTATTATCAAAATTAGAGTTTTATTTTGATAATATATAATACCATTTGATGCTCACCTTTTACTCAGGTAAAACTGTAATTTTAATTTTAAAAAATTGCACATAAAATATCTAAGGAACTCTTCTTTTGTTCTAAAAATTTCCTTTTGTAATCAAGTCAACTTGGAGAACTTCCAAGAAGTCAAAAGTTGTATTCAGACTATCAAGGTGTGTGTCATCCTATGACTATGCAATTCTCAAGGTTAAGTAAAATTAATTTTATTATAAACAATTTTAAACAGTTGAACATGACTGAGATATGTGTCCAAATTAATCTTTGGCATGGATTTTATGTTGGAACGTGTACCACAGTGAGAGGATTTGATTTTGGATGTTTTCTAAATAGGCAGCAGCAAGACATAACACAATAAATGCTACTTGATTGCACACAAAGGTTGGAGGATAGTTCAATTTGATGTGAGAGGTTCCTAATAGCTGTCTAGAGGAGAAGGTCCATGCATAATAACATGAAGATTGTTGGTGTAGGGTCAAGAATGGGAAGTTTTATATATGATCTAAAATATGCTTCAAAAAATTGGTATACCTGAACTGATTTATAATTACTGTAGTTGGGTCTCCAAAGGAGCTAAAGTGAGCCTACTCTCAATACTCAAAAAAAAATCTAATGATTTGTTGTTTGCATCATTACATGCTGATGTTTTTTTTAATAACTTTTAGAAGAGTTTTCAAAGATGAGATGCAAAACAATGTTGAGAAGATAAATTTGGGCAAATGTCCTATATATTGACATGGAATTTGGTTGACAAAAATTGCTATAGGGTCTAAATCTGAAATATGGCAATGCAATTAAAATACGTGGATAGTCTAGCTGCTATTGCAACACAACGAAATCCAATTTCTCATGCATGGGGAGACAAATATTCAAGATCAGGTATCATGTTGTCAGAGAAGCTCAGCAGAATATGCACATCATTTTGATGCATTGAAGTTCAAAATATTTAGTTTTAGATATATCAACCACGGAATTGCCCAGAGTTCAATTTGATGTGCTAACAAAGAAAGCTAGAGTTTTCAACATGTCAGTTAAGGAGTGGTGACAGTAATCATTTTTTTAGTATTTAAATGTTCATAACTTTTTTTTTTTCTTTTTACTATTCCAATAAAGTGAATTATCAAGTTTGCATGATACAAATAATGTTAGGTAAGTAGTGACATTAATTAGTTGTTTAATGTTAGTTGGTTATATAAAATAACATGCCTACTTTTGTACACTTTATATAAGTTAGAAGTTCACATTCCTTTTTCTCTTCTGCCAAAAAAGGCCAACATTCTGATGGAAGAGAAAACATTTTACTTTCTTGCAAATGATATTAACAACTTGTAGTGCAGACAGATTAGCCTACTTCTACGCAATTACCATTAGTCGTATCTTATTCCCTGACAAAATGTAACATAAATTCAGTACTGATTTTTTTACACATTCGTTAACAAAAAGTTAAAAGAGTATATTATTTAACCCCAAAAATAAAAAACTTTAAATCATATGTAATTGGAGAGACGAAACTTTTGTTAAGTGCTTTTATACAATAAAGGTTGACACACATTCTCGAGTTTCCCCTAAAACATTCATGCAATAAAAAAATAATAAAACTTATGTGCCAACCTTTGTTGCATAAATTATTGAAGTGAAATTCTAATTTTTATTTGAGAACAGTAATAGAAGTACTTATAATAATGCACCTTAGTTTTGTCCTAATTGGAGGAGGAAGGAGAGAGGAACTATTCCATGAGACATAAGTGGTATTTCCTTTCTTATTTTTTCAGAAAAATAATTTGTCAAATTTCATTGACAAAACTAACTGCAATGAGGAATGAAAGTATCTTTGAAATGCAATTACATGTCTAGCCTAATAAATATTTATTTTACAGCCATAATTTTTACATCAAAAGGGATTTGGATTCTCTAGTGATACTTTTTGCTTTTGTGTCTATTTTATAACATGACATTGTTAATCTACCAGGTAGTATAAGAAGATTCAAATGCAACATAAAAATGAAAAACTAAAAGGTTGTAAAAGGAATAATAGGTAGCATCTTTCTATATGAATTGGAAGAAAACAAAGAACATTAAGAAAATAAAACAAGACTTAGCTGGATGGAGAACCCACATTATAGGATGAGTTCATAGCCCAATTAAGACATTAACTACAAACATCAAGCAATTTTTGATTGAGACAACTTCTTTTCAAGATACTTCAATGATGCTGGATTGATTTGAGTGAACATATAATTCCCAGCGAAGAGATCACCAAAATGGCCTTGCCCCTCCTTGAACCTTTTCTTCACCTTAGCACATAAAAGCCTCACTTTTTTCATCCACAATCTTCTCCATCTTGGCACTTTCAACCTGAACCTTTTCCTCAACGGCACCCCTCTAAATCTGCACCACTTCTTTGGCCTTAGGATCACCCTTCTTTCTTCATCAGACTCAGTTTCAAGACTTAGCATTTGGTAAGGAAGCTTAATAGCTCTGGGAGAAGCCATTTCTATGAAAGACATGATGAGATTTTGAGAATGAAAGTAATGAAGACAAATTTTTATTAAGATTGTGACTAGGGTGAGCCTATTGAGAGGATTTTCTTGATGAGTTGATGTTGAAAATTACATTTTTTGTAGTTGTTGATGTATTACATGAGAAAGCCAGTGGTAGTTGAAGTAGCATCGTATTTGTTGTACTTTGGAGCTTTATTTCTTAGCATTTAGTGGTACATTGCGTGCACAATTCTCTAACTAAACAAGAATTTTTACACCCCAGTACACAAAAATCAAAAGAAAGAAATATAAGATAAATATAAAAATAGCGTCTGAAAACATTAAAATTGTTCTAAAAGTTCCTTTTACACATTTTTCTTTTACACACTTTCTTTATACTACTACTCCATTGCCATTAATTTGAAAACGCTTACCTTAAAAATAAAAATAGTTAAATGATGAATAATTAAGACTAAGTGTAGAAAAAAGTATAACTAAAAAATAGTATAATATATATATATATATTTAAATTATAAAAAGGTGAAGTGTAAAAATAATATAAAAGGTGTCAGAATATTTTTATTTTTTAATTTCTTGCAAATATCTTCTCTAAAAGTACTTATGTTTGAGGTACAGTAGAATATTAAACATGAATATTTTTCTTAATACAAATTCAAATCAGTTCACCATTTTATAGAGCATTATTTTTCAATACACTCAACTCCCCCGAGTTAATGTAACTGAAAGAAAAAGAAAAAAAAAAGACTACCCTGAATTAAAATTATCATTATTGAATACAAAGTTGTGTACATGACAGTAGTAAATTGGCAAAATATACACACTAAGTTAATGAATCAAGATAGTTATAAAGTAAAAAATCATTATTGTAACTATGAATAGTACCAATTATTTGTGGTATTTCAAATATATATTTCACTCTCCAATCTTTTTACCTGTTATTAATTATAACTGTGTAAATAGTACCAACGTTTTCAGGTATTAAATATATACTTCACTCTCCAACCTTTTTACCTACCGATTTTAATTATTCTGCATATATATGTGTTTGTATATGTATGTATGCAGTATGTATACATGTATTTAACATAATCTGTTTCCTGGTTCATGTGCATAGCATATGCATATGCTTGGCATAACAAAGAACAATCCTTGTTTTTGCTGTATACGCGACCGATGGAGACTTATCATATCCTGTGATAAGAAAAAATGTCATGATTTTTTAAGGATTGAATAAAACAAAGTTTAGAATTCTTATTAGTAACTAAGTTGGTTGGTCCATATGTATGTATGCTTAAGCATTAAGCATGACAAATGCTAATTTCCCAAAGAAGGAAATTTTTACTGTGAGCTGAACTTTAGCAGCAAATCTATTTGATATAAATAACTTTCAATGAAAAAGTGTTACAAATAACTTTTAATTAATATAAAGAGGGATAAATACGTGAGTGAAGAAACAAAAAGCTACTGTCTTTGTTCTTATTTAAAGAGAGAAAAATTATACATGCTAAAAAAATTAATTATTTTATTCGAATTATTTGTTAAAGTTTTTAATTTGATCTCTTTTTACATTTGAGTTATTTAATTAGTGTAAATATTGTATTGATATTGCTTAAAATCATTATACAAGTAAAGGATATTAGTAAAAAAAGAGTCATTAATAATATTATCTTAAACTTTCATATAAATAGGTAAGTAAGAACAAATTTTATCTTTTCTTTAGACAAATAAATTAAAACATACATAATGTTTCATAATTGCAATATAATCATAATAGAAAAAGAAAAATAATATTTATACATCTACGAGAAAAACATCTTTAGGTGTCTCCTTTTCTTTAGGGTGTATTTTAAGAATATATGTACACAGAAATGACACAAAGTTAAGAGAGAATTATAAATAATTGTATATAATGTTGTATACAGTATTAATTTTTTTTTATAGTTTAAATAATAAAATTGATTATGCAGCTTCATGTTCTTTATTTGCCTTACTTAAGATAAGTTTCTTAAGATTCATTGTTATAGGTCTTTTAGCTAATATTTGTTGTTGTTAATTTTCTTTTTTTATTTCAAGTCCCGTTGATAGTAAAAGAAAATTAAATTAAAAATCAAATTTTCATATTTTTACTCTTTTTCTTACTCCATTTATTTTTTTATCTTGCCAACTTCAAAAGAAGATTTTGTTTTAATTTGTTTGTCAAAAATTTAAGATAATATTAAGCATTATATTTTTATCTTTACTTAATTCTGAAATACTTTATACATCTATCATAATTTAAAATAATAATAATAAAATTTATGTCAAAAAGTTTTTCTTTTATTTGTAGTAGTTAGGCTTGTCCGTAATTACCTCGTTTTTGGATCTTTTAGAAAATTCAAACACTTATATATACTGAGAAGGATTTTCTTTTCTCACACAAATGTAAATTTAAAAACTTTTACACTTAATTTAAATTTTTTATTTAACTTACATCTGACAGTTAGTGAAATAATAAATTATAACATAAGTTAATTAAAAAATTCAGATCAAGTGTAACAATTTTTAGACTTACACTAATATAAAATTTTTTTGGTCATATATATATATATATATATATATATATATATATATATATATATATATATATATATATATATATATACACACACATATGGGATAAGATCTTCTTACACTAGTGTAAGTCTAAAAACTTTTACACCCAAGAGCCTTTTATTTAACTTAAATCTAACGGATTATAATTTATTACTTTATTGGCTGTTAAATTTAAATTAAATGGAAGATTCAGATTAAGTGTAAGAATTTTTAAACTTACACTGATATAAGAAGATCCTTCCCCTATATAACAGATCTTCTTACATCAATGTAAATTTAAAAACTCTTACACTCAATCTGAATCTTCCATTTAACTTAAATTATATATATATCCTAACACATTTCTTAATATATATGACTCACAACTTACTATCACAACTCATAATTTTATGATATAATTTATTAAAACAATAATAGCTGAAACTAATATAAAAAAAAAATTACAATACAAATTTAAGACATCTGAAAAAAATTTATATGTTTCTTAAATCTAATTTATAAGCCATTGTTTTAAATGTTGCAGGGAAAACAAATTTTAAAAACAATATCATTATATTAATTGTCATACACGTCATCATACAAGCCAAAAATTCAAACGTTGATAAGCAAACTAATTTGAAAATTAATACATCATACAAGTTTATAATTCCCATTATAAACATACTAATATACAGGCATAAAATAGACAAACTCAAACATAAACATTCGTATGCAATTGTTTAGCATATCATTAACGGTGGTTAGATGTCTTTCATTCAATTTTAAAGTAGCTTCAATTGCTGCAGCAAAATCAAAACCTTCTGTCAATATACAGCAGCTTGGTCAAATGCAGCAACTATTGACATATGTTTAGCTTTTAAAAAAATAATATATTACACAACTAAATTAACATACCTCTTCAATAATAATAAATAAATACAATGAGCTCAATAAGCTTATTAAAATATTAATAAAAAATATAAATTTTATTAAAAAAATATTTTAATTTTAAAAATATCTTAAATTGATGTTTAACAATATTTTTATTTATTTTTTATCGGGTTTATCTGGATCTAATTTAGATAGTGCACTTGGATGTGGTGAATGAGACTAGCACCGGAGATTGTTTTGCATACACAATGATTCAAACTTTAAAGTGATGTTGAGCTACTTGCTACTAAAATCAACCTCAGGTGATATTTAACAATATTTTAATTTAAAAACTTAAAATAAATTAAATTTCAAGATATTTTAATTTTTTAAGGTAACGTAATACTAACATATGTATCTTTTAAACAAGAGAAATGCAATTTATTCAATAAAAAAACTTTACAATTATATTATTTTATAATGTAATTTCTCATTAGCTTCATTATATTCTTAAAATAAATTTAGACAATGATTCATATTTATTATTACCAAAATATTAAATAATTAATTAAATAAGTAAAAAATGAGATCTTGGTCACTATGACATAAGATTGCTATTTTTTTTAGGTCGTACGAAAGTATTTAATAAAGCTGTATTTATTAAAATTCGAAACTACGTATTAAGTTGAAACAATTTTCTTCTACTTGATCTCATGTTTAATGGTTATAATTAATAATTTGCTTCAAGAGAAAAATTCAATTATCATACCAAATATAATTTGGATCGGTGATTATTAAATCAATCAAACCTTATACGGGTTGTTGGTTATAAAGGTTGTCCTTTTAGCTAACATTTCTAACTTATTTATATAATTAAGTTCAAATTTGTAAAAAATGAAAAACTTATGCATTTAACTTTATTAAAAATAAAAACAAATTGATTTACATCAGACATTGTTGGATAATTGTTTAGCATTATTAACCCATTCTTCTAATTTCTTTAGCCCTATCCACACATTTCGCCGATTTATTTGAATAATCATGTCGAGCTTAAGTATTGATATACTTTTACTGTGAATTTAACGTCTCTTTCTTCCAATATGTTTACATATAAGCAATAATCAAGTTTAGCAGAGGCGACAATGATAAAAGATGTATTCATGACAAGAAATGCATCTACGGCTGTTATCAATTAACCCAAAACCGGTTTTTATAATTAGTAACAATAAAAAAAATGGTGGATAATGATTTAAAAAAAATAAGTATTAAACTTGGACACTTATACCATTTAATAAATTATATTTTATAAAAAAATTATTAAATAGTATAAGTGTCTCAATTTAACTTTTAATATTGATGTATCATAACTCTCTTTATATATATATATATATATATATATATATATATATAATTTTAGTTTTAAATAATTTAATTTTTTTACTTTTTAAGTTAATTTTGCAATTCACACAGGATTAGATCAATTTGTGAATACCTATACTTTCCTGTAACATATATTTAAATTTGTACAACAAATACTAATCGAATCTAAATCTTTTACACTATAAATTTCATTGCACCAAATCCAGTGATAATATTATGATCCATTATATTATTTAATACTTTTTAAATAAAAATGAAATTTTTTTAATGGTCAAGAACTTTTCAATAATAATATTACTGTAGAGTAGAGAATCCTTATTCAATATTATCCTAAGTTGGATGGATCCTTATTTATTTGTTTACATTTACAATCTTTACCTTCTCACCAAAAAGAAAGAATCTGGCGAAAAGCGTCTTGGAAAGTGTGATTATACAACAAATATAGCCTACATTGCAAGTGAAAACGAAGGAAAACAAAAATTGCATCACGTGTTGGTATTTTATGTTGAGAAATGTGTAAACGAAATTCCTTACTTTTGAAAAAAGTTAGAATCCTTAATAAATTTAAATAATTATGCTATTTAATAACTTTCTATAAAATATAAAATAATTTCATCTAATAATTAAATGATTTTCTATTATCTTTATAATTATTAATATAAAATCTATATAATTTAAATATCTATAAATATGTTATCTAGAATTTAATATTTATTTATATTTTTTAAAAATATAGCATATTAAAATAAAATAATGAAATGGAGTATCTATTCATTTTTATTTTTATATTAAATTTTATAAAACTGATGTACTGAATAAAAACCTCCAGACCAATAATGTAATTAATTAATTTTACATTGTATAAAAAGTTGAATCTTTGAAAAGGTATTCTGATCGTCTCTGTTATTCCGTTTCTGGCTTGGTGTGCTAATGTTCAATATTTTAACCTAATTCAAATTCCTTTTCCTCACTCGTTTCTTACTGTCATGCCTTAGCTACTGTCGACCACAATACCCTTACTTAGTACCATGCCTAAATGATTTGTTCTTATTTGGATTAGTTTGACTCGAATTTAAAGAAAAACTTTTGCAAGTTCAATCCAAACCAAGCCGATTAGCTTTAATTGGTTTAGTTTTTTTTTTTTTTTTAACAGAAAATCTGAAACAAACAAACTCGTGAAAATTCCGAGTTTGATCAGTTAAAGAAACAGGTACAAAGTCAAATCATTATAGTAAAAAATGAGAAGTAACAAAAAAAAGATATAAGACGATTTATGGAATGATTACATAGGGAGGACTGTAGGTCCTACTTTTCATCACTAGAAACTGAGTTGATCTAACGATGTATACAACCAGAAAAGAGGGGTAAAAAATCAAAGAATTTTAGCTTACACCACACAGTAATTACTTCCCAATGAAGGACGCCGCTTAGTAAAGCTTAATTCTGGTGTTAATGGGGCTCCTACAGATGGGACACGACTGAAGATCTTGTCCACAATCACAACATGTCTGTAATGTAACAAAGATGTAATCAGCACTCTCCTTATCTAGTCTTTCCATAAAATATATGGGAAGAAATTGAAAATATTGTTTACCTGATGCCCGCATCCGAAGGCCATGTCTTTCGAATTGCTCAAACATATCGGGCAAAGCTGCACAAGGCCAATTCAATTTGTTAACAGTACAGTACGACAATTTGAATAATAAATTCACAAGAACCATTTCAATTCCAGTCCCTACATTAGACTATAAAATGCAAAGCAGGTAACAAGACAATAAAATTATACAACTACAGCCTGGATGCATGACAATTACCGTTTTGGTCACCATAGACAACTACAATAGAAAAAAGAGAGCATAAAACTATGCCACTAAAGCAAGCCGGTAATTGATGCTGACAATGTCTCACCATTGGACCACGTAGATGGCATGTTACATGAGTAATCTAATTTCTCAACTGAGGCATATCAAGATAATGACAAATAAAAGGTAGATTGGAACAAGGTAAGGAAAATGAAACAACCATGTATATTCACATGATTTTGAGCAATTCCCTACTACATTCATATTTCAGAAGATCTGATCAAGAACATAACACATTCCTATCAGAAGCACTTTGGAAGGGTTGTACCTGATTGTCATATGTGGTACTAGGGGCAGGAGGTGCTGTTCCAACAAGGTCACTGTTATCATAAAGATGAGGGACACTCTGCTCAAAGCTAGTAGCATAAGAAGGTTTTGAACTGCCGAAAGATGCTGAACCATAAGGTTTTGTATCACTAAAAGATGTTGAACCATAAGGTTTTGTATCGCTAAAAGATGTTGAACCATAAGGTTTTGAAGCGCTAAAAGATGCTGAACCATATGTTGGTGTTGGAAGGGCAACTCTTTGAGGGCCATTGGCCTTCCGACTACTGTTTATGAGAAATAAACGGAAAGAACAACCAAAATTTAGTCAGAAATTGAACCAAAGTTTTTTTATTTATAATAAAATGAAATATAAATGGTAAAGCATAAAAATTTTACCCTAGTAGATTAAGCTCTATTGCTGCCTTATACTGAGAAGGAATTTCCATCAATGCTGCAAGAGCAAATGCTGCCTCTTTTCGAGAAGGAGGAATGTTCTTTGACATAATTTCTGTGAAATTCACAAACTAAAGCACAAGAAAAAACCCACAATAATTCAGTCATTCAATTCCCACTGACTGCAACAGAATAACCATTATAAATAAACATTATGTTTACTTACTTGAAAATTATCAAAGGCTCGAGCTGGAATATTGTCATCAAACTCTTTCATCATGTCCCAAGGTCCATCTCCAACACCAACCAATATGATTGAAAGAGGAAATTTACTGCAACAAAGCAGGCAAATAAGAAAAGATATTTGAACAGATAACACATCGCTGAATAAAACCTACAAGATAATCACCTGGCCTCAACAATGGCATCCACTGTCTTCTGCTCCTGTGGACCTAGCCTTCCACGTTCAGTGTCAATACTTCTAGTTACCTGCAGCAAACATCAATGCAGATAAGCTCACACTTCTTAGCAAAGTACCATTATAGCAATTGAAAGTTAGAGACACTAATTCAAATGGAATTGTAGCAACTATGACATTAAGTACTTGAAATTACAGGAAGTGCGGAGTTACATTTACATTCAGTAGCAAACATATATTTCCTGTCCATCTAAAGAAAGACATTTTGAAAGCAAATTAAATCAATAATAGACCAATCCCATCAAATAAACAAAGTTATCGCGGTGAATATTAGTTGTTAAAACTCAAAAACATATTTTTTTTGGGGGTGGGGATTAGTCACAATCTACCACTGCCATATTGCCTGTTCAGTTCGTCATTTCTTAGATCAGAATGTCATGCTACGACCCTTAAACCAATAAGGAAGTTGGTGGCTTAAAAGAGATCTGAGACATGCATGTATGTGTAACTGATGAAGGCTTAGGGAATTAAAAATATTTAGAGTTTTAAACATGCTACAGGTAATATCATGCATTAAATTCCAAAACTTCTAAAAAATCTTAAGGTCTTTTTCTTTGTTTTTGAAACAACTATTTGTGTAATATTTTGCTACAGGTACTACCATGCATTAAATTTCAAAACTTATAAAAAATCTTATAAACATATGTCATGTACTGAATATGAAACGTGGAAAAAGAATTAGGCTGCAAAAACAAAAATTATATCCGAAAAATGAGTATTGAATGCATAATTCAATTCATGGTATTACAGTTATTATAGAGCAAAACAAAATCAGTTGACATTCAGCTCTACCAACAGACATTAATATCTATCAAGTCATACTCCTTTACATCACTTCCTTTTTTCATATACAGTGCATACATTTTTATTGTCATTGCAATTCACTAAAATTCTGTGTTTCCATCAAAATTGTGTACTTCAAAAAAGGCATCAAAAGACCTACCGTTAAGATCCTAACAGCCAAATGATTATGTATGTTACGAATAAATTGTCTCAAAAGATTAATTAATTGGGTAAAAGCATGTGGATGATTTTGTATCTAGCAGCCAAATGTTTATGCAAATTAAGGACATTCATGAATTAAGTGGAACAAAGATGGAAAACAAATTCAGGAGAAAGATGGATGCCTAGTCCAACTACTTGTGTCTCTAAAATAATAGAACTGCAGGTATGAGGGAGAAAGCATGATACAATTCACTTTTGTAAACCAAGTGATTTCCTGAGTTAAATAAAATGGAAACATGATCATTGCTTGATTGAAGACAACTCTATACATCGATTACATTCTGAATATAGAATAGAATACCTGGCCATCTGCAATTATCACCAAAACATGGTACTGGCCTCCACTCTGCTCAACAATTGTCATGGCCATTTCAATGATTGGTGCAAAAGAAGTAGGACCTGAAATAAAACTATAAGTCTGAATTAGCTCAGTTTTACAACACGAATAAGTAGAATTTGCCCAAGAAGAACAAGACATATAGTTGAAATATAACCTGCAAGTCGAATATTAGGAATGATTTCCCTGTACCGACTCAACACTTCTTCAAAACCATTGCAAAATCGTTCATCTGGATAGAAACTGAAGACATCTTGATCATGTGTTGATGCTGCCATGATATCACAAATAATGCTCATTACCATACCACATATAAATTATAAACAAAATTTCTATCACAAATAAGTATGAGAAGTTTGAGAAAGATACCATCCCCAAATCCAAAACAAGGAATCAAGTTATCCTCATCAAATGCAGCCAAGGTTTTCCCAATAATGGATATTGCTTGTTCATAGGGGTTTGGACCATTCCCGATGTGATGTAAACTTTTTCTGTTAAATGAATACTTTCCTGAAAGCAGCATCAAGTTCAACATATATTTCAGATCAAAACACAGCATAAATTGCACCTTAAAAACCAAATATATATAAATAAGGCCTAACCTGTCCACTCATTGCTCTTAGTGAAATCAATACCAAGAATAAGATTTGAAGACTCAAGGCCTGCACGTGCAAGAGCATCAGTCACCTGTAGTGAAATATAAGTATGACAAATGTGAGATTGTAGAATTAAAATGATGACACAGCATCAACAGATTTCCTAAAATATAAAGATGAATAAGAACAATCAGTGGGAAAGTAATAAGCAAATTGCAAGATGATATTATGATTAGCTCCATATCAAATGAAAATACACTTAAAAGTAGTCAAATGTATAGCTCTAAATTCATCAGAAAAATGTAAACATGCAGAGTCCTCATTCATTTTAGAGAATCCAATTTAGCATAGTTAAATCCAAAATTGGAAACAGAATGAGTTGGCAACCAATCACAGATAATTTAATAAGTTAACAAAAGCGGGCTACTTTAAAATCTGCAGAGTCTTGAGTGCATCATACCGAATCTATCTCAAATAAAGATCATCACCATCAAAATTCAATATAACATTCAATTGTAATTACACTGTCCTCACGACTATTAGTTTTTGTTATGTGGCATTTGATATGAGAAATGTTTTAACCTTCTCGGAATAGTGACATGGGACCAAAATTTTCCCACGTTTGGTAGAAGAATAAAACATTTCCCAGACATAAAAGATTATTAAGAATGTTCATTTGTGAATAAGAGGAATAAAACTTTTCCACCTTCATTGGTGGGAATAAAACTTTCCTGTAGTAATTAATTGTAATGTTACTAAACTTTTCCATGGTAATTACCCATTAAATATTTTTGGACTTATAACTGCTAAAATATTTTTCTTAAAAAATTAAAACTACGTTAAACAGAGCCAAATGAAGAGAAGCACTTCAAGTTTGAGACAGATAAAAACAAATATGGCTTAATCTCGTGACAAACTAAAGTTAAACACAACAGTACATCACCTACAAGCAAAGCATCTCTTACCTCGTCTATGGAATTGTAATTATCAGCAATTCTCGAGTACTTCCTCTCTAACCTCCGATCAGTGTTGTGGCTGGCCACTCTACCACTAGCATGAGGTTGAGGTTCATAGCCATAGTTTTGTGGCGGTGGGGGAGGGGCATAATAGTGCTCTGTAGGATAAGAAGGCTGTTGTGGCTCATAGGTGTAACCCCCCTGAGCATAAGCCGATTGGGGATCAGAATATGCACTGTAAGAATAAGAGGAACTTGAACGCGCAGCTGAATTCTGCCTCCAATTATCCTCCTTAGAATTGTTACCCCCCATCAACTCAATTCTCTGAAAAACCAAAACAACAATAAAAAAATCCCCTAACCCCACTTATCTTCTCAACAAAACTGAGCAGAAAACAATCCAAAATCAAATACCCAACAAGAAGAACTCCAAAACCAATTCCAGATGCTATAAATGAAGATAAAAGACTCTTCTTCAAGGTTGAACCTTCTAATTTCCAAGCAAATTCTCAATTGACGAGACACAAGACCAATTCATACAAACCCCACCGACTCAAAGAAACACAAACGCATAAAGTAACCTTATATAGATATACCCTGTAGCCGCCATCTGTCTTCAAATGCAATCAACACACGGAATCTCGTTTTGCACACCAAACAAAAACTCGTTCAACGGTAAATGGAAATTGAAAATTAAACATTAATAAATTACCCAGAATAGCAATTCAATTTTCACACGAACTGTCGTTAAAGCCTATCAATTAACACGCAACAGATTGCAAAAAATCTTACACCCACTTATGAATGTCCGAAAAGAAAACCCTAAGCTGTAATTGGTGAGAAGTGAAAGCAACGAAACGGCATTGCGATTGTGCAGCAGAGAATGTGGTGAAGAAGCATCGAAGAGTGAAGTGAGAGTCAAACGGTGAAGGGGACGGTACCTGGATCTGGACGACGATGGAACATGGTGTTCGGAATATTCTAGAATCGTGGAAATATAGAGATGCAGAGACAGAGAAAGTGGATTGAATAATGGATTTTTCAAAACGTGAAAAGCGGAGGCAGTTTTTCTCTTTTTAATTTTTTTAATTAAATGAAAATCTATTTTAATCCCTTAAATTACGGATTAATATAAAATTATTTATTTCTAAAAATTATTAATTAGGGCATTTGCATTTTATCTTTTATTATTATTTTATGTTAAAATAACTAAACTATATATTATTTTGTAAAATTAACTTCTTCTTTTTTATAAATTAATATGACCAACGTTTACCATTCCATAGACTATAGTATATATTTATTATTATTATTATTTTAATTATTTATTTGTAGCGTTGAAGATGGAGATTGCAAAATTGGGATGCACATGGAGACCGCCGTTTCTAATATTCAATTCAGATATTCATTCAAAGATAATATTAATAAAAATGTTACCTAATTCTTTTTTTTTTTTAATTAGGAGGCCTTTGATCGGCGATGTTTTCAGATTTATTAAAAATTTTAAGTTAAAAATGTTCGGGTTATTTAATTTATTATTAAAATATATGGAGTATGATTGCAATTTATTTATAAAATATGTTATATATTTTAAAATTTAAATTTTATTTCCATATAAATATTTTATTATATTTTATTTTTACTGTTATGATATTATACTATTTAAAAAAAAATATTAACATCATTCAGTAATAGTAATTTAAAAAAAAAAATTATTGATGCAAGAGACAAATATTCTAGGTACATGAATTAGTTTGTAAATAAGTATTGCCTGTAAATAATAAAATAATAGTCCTAGTTCTTACGAAAAATTATTTTTTTAATTCGATCTAATTATAAAATAATATTTGAAAGTAAATTACTTTATAAGTAAATTTGCTTTTCAAAATACTTTTATCTGGATATTAAAGGAAAAACATTAACTTTGATGTTTAGAATTAAATTTAAGCAATCAATAATAATCAAATATTTATTATAATTTTAATATAATAAGTATTTTATAATAAAAATGATTATATTTGCATACTAAAATTGAATTTTCAAAATTAAGATTAGCAAAGTGGTATATTAAAGAAGGGAAGATGATTATTTTAGGGGGATAAGCATGGATCATGCGTGACAGAGTGGAAAGCAAAATGATAAATAATGATTGGCATCAGTTTATTGTCAATTGTTGCTTCTTCTGATAGGGTGGTGGTTTTGGTGACTTTGACGTATGGGTATGCAGAGATTGACATAACAATTCTTAGACCAAAATAAATGGCCTAGGTCAAAAGCTACCTGAGGAAAATACTGTATTGTTAATCTTAGTAAAAAAATATTAAAAATATAATATGTAATTAATTAATTAATTATAATGCACTATAAATTCATAAAAACGGTTATATTTAATTGATTTTTTTAATATTTAAAGAAGTCCATATAAAGTTATATATTTTTAATTTTTAATTAGTAAATATTTTATATATTATACATGTATTTATAAATATAAAAATATAAATTAAAAAATTAATTATTAAAATATTTCTTTACTAGTAACAAAAATAAATTCTAAGCACAAAATATATAATGGATTAAAATTTTTTATATTATTTGTAATTTATTTATCCTTTCCCTATTTTGCATTACAATTTTCTTTTCTTTTCCCTTTATTTTCACATTATTCCCCCTGCACCGTAGGTAATAAAGGTTTAAGGTGAGGTTTTACCCCCTGATTTTCATTTCTTTAGTACCAAGTCTGATAATATTATTTATAATTTCATAAATAAGGGTTTGCAGCGTAAGTGTTAGTAAATGGTATTTAAAAAAACTATATCTTAGAACATATTTTAGATTTAAATTTTAAATACAAATTAATATAATATTAAAATTATTTAAAATTTTCTTATATATTAAAATTGTAAACTAAACAATTTTTACTCATCCTATTTTTATTTTATGAAATTGATCATAGTTAATAGAACCTTATTTACCATAAATAATTGAATAAAAATTTAAATATATATTATACAGCTTATAGAACTTTTTTATATATTACGTAAAATAAACTAAAATGTTTGACATAAAAAAAAATTCAAATGTATAAAATATAAAATTCAACTATTATGATAATTTGAATTCATACGAGAAATATTAATTTAAATTTTAAAGGTTAAATTATGTAATTTCTTGACTACTTCAAAGTTATTTATATCTATTTTCATTTTATATCTTTCACATTTTTATGAAAGTCAAATAAGAATTACACTTGTGGATTAGTACTGCATTTAATCTAAAATCTTATGCATATTTGATAAAAAAAAATATATTATTACGTTATTTTTTTCGGACAAAATTAGTATTTTGATATTTTAATTTTAAGATAAGTTTTGATTTTATCCTCTAATTTTATTTTAATTATTTAATTTCTAAAAATACTTTAAATAAGTCAATTTTTTAATTGAAAACGTTAAATCTATTATATATTTTTTCGTTTGTGTATTGATAGTTGTTTACGGTGAAAAATGACAGTTTGTAAACAAATAATCCAAGAGCAATATGGAGACTGGATTAGGTCTTTTTTTAGTTCTTTTAAGTGTATTGTGATTAAATAGATGTTGTAAAACAAATTGTTAAACTGGAATAATATAAAATTGAATTACAGCGTAGAAGTTTTTATAATAATTTGCTAAAACAAGAACCAAATTGCAGAAAAGAAATAAGCAAACAAACTGGAATTAAAATGTGGAAAGGTAAATGTGCAGAAATTTAAACGTACGACTTTTAGCAATGAATAACAACACCGTGAGTTTCCTGGTAGTCGGTGTCTGATGCGGTGCAGGTTTTCAGCGTGCAGAGGTTTTGGGTGTAGATGTCTGAGTACAAAAAGTCGTCCTTTGAAAAATGAAATTCTGAGATTGGCAAGCGGATTACTACCGTCCTCCTTCTTTTGCAGGCACTTTCTTAGAGTTGTCTTTGTGCGTGCTTACTTCCAACCGTTGCTGTCCATTATCCATGTTTGCTTATGATTGTACCGGTGGTTAAAGCTCTTTTTATAATTATTGTTGCCCATGATCTTTCTTCATGTTATTGAACTTTCGTCTGGTGACTACCGGTAACTGTTGGCAGCTGCTTTTGAACATTATAATATCTTGTGAGTCCTATCAGGATTTTTAATTTTCTTTCTTCCAAGCAATTTCTGGAAAAATTTAGGAGGCTCATTAAGCATTACGACTTTAAAATATTTTTCTCTTGACTTCTTTTTTCGACTAATTCTAGGACTTTTGAAAGCTTATCTTGACCTTGTGGACTTCGAATACTTTCTCTAATTATTCCTCTTTTTTTCAAGCAATTCTAGAGAGAATATAGAGCTCAACCAGATTTGCGAACTTAGAATATTTTACACTTTCTGGTTTTCGAGCAATTCTGAAGAACTTCTTGTCAAGTTTGTGGGTTTAGAATTTTTTTAGCCATTTTTATTTTTCGAGCAATTTTGTGTTGCTGGAGACTTAGAAACCCCCTCCAAAAAAAACTCCTCAAAGAGACTTTTCAATCCTATTTTTCGAGCAGTTTTTTGGTGTAATGAACTTGACAGCTACTCAAAAAATTCTCTTGTCTTGTGAACTTAGAATAATTTCCAATTATTTCTATTTTTCGAACAGTTTTGGCTAATCTCAATACAGGGGCCAAGGTATTCTTGAAAATACCTCAGAAAGGCTTTCAGTTTTGTGGACTTGGAATAAGTTATTACTCTCGTTTTTCAAGCAGTTTTGAGGGAAATCAAAGATGTGACAAAAACATCTAAAACTACTCAAAATTTGCCTTTTTCGAGTAATGGATCTAATCTATCTTTTAGTGCTTCTTAGATTCAAATTTACTTTGTGCCCAGGAAAGAGGCCCCATCTCCAACCTTTTAAAATTTGTTGAAATGTTGCTTCTTTCAATGTAATTTTTTAACTTAGAAAATTTTCCTTACCTCAAACAATAGTACACTATTTTTCTTCTTCCTTACATTTTCAATTACTTTTTTTTTCATTTTTTCTTTCTCCTTTTCAGTTTTTCCTTTTTATTTATTTTTTATCTTTTTCTTATTTCTTTATTCTTCCACTTTAAAACCCCTCACAATTGAGGATATAACGTAATTGTTACTTGTCACTTGCTATTTGTTTATGGGATTTTCATTGTTGTTTGTCACACTTCCTCTAACAAGCCTTTTATTTTTCTTCTTAATTTAACCTCCAACTACTTTAACCATACAAGTCACAACTCGCCATACTTTTTCATTATCCGTGATTCTTACCTCACCCATGTTAACAAGGTTAAAAAGGCATTGTCTCTTAGAGTGACAACAACGACATCATCGTCCCATAATGTAAAGTTTTGAAGAGAAAAAAAGATGTGAAGAAGAAAACTAAAATTGAAAATACAAGAAAGAAAATGAACAATGCATAAAAATATACTTGATAAAAAGATACAATTTTTTTAATAAAATTAATATTTTTAATAAAATTAACTTATTTGATGCGTTTTTAAAAGTTAAAGAATCAAAATAAATAAAAATAAAGTTAGAAGAAATATTAATTTTTTTTAATATTTTAGATAAACAAAAAATAGTAGAATAGAATATAAATTTTATCTAAATGAACAGTACTATTTTATCATAATTAATATATTTTAAAAATTATAATAATTTTATTCAACTTTTTCATAATGAAAATTTACAGGTAAGAGATTATAATTAGAAAAAAAAAACTTATAAAAATATATTGCATAAAATGATTAAAATGATTTTTAACAATTTTTTAAGTATAATTTTTTAAAATATGTTTTTTAAATATTTTTATTAAAAAAGTTCATATAAATTTTAAATAATTATTTGTTATAAAATATTAAAAAATATATAAAGTATGGATAAGAATGTAAAAAAGAAAAACTATAGTACAATACTTTACTTCCAAATACATTATTATGAACAGAAGTAGAAGTAGGTTAAGTTACTGTAGACTCAACTTATTTAATAATTTTAAAATTTATTTATTATCAAAAAAATTTAAATAAGCTTGTATTAGAAGAGGCTATCAGACTTATATTTAATATTATAAAATTTAAAATTGTATTTATTTTAAATTTTAATTATTTTATATAATTTATATATAAAATTTTTATGTATTATTATAAAATTAATAAAACTTAAACAAGCTAATATATCAAATTTAATAGACTTTTTTTAAGGTTAAGTCATACCTATTTAATTAATTAAATTTTTTAAAAGATTGAATTTAACCTTTTACTTGAATAAGATGGATCAGGTCATATATAAGATGTCAAACCCTACGTCTCTATTAAATAGTGTGGCCTACTACCCTGTTAAGAATTTGAGCTATGATAACTAAATCAAATAACTTACAGGATAAGCTATCATTAACAAATACTTAAAAATAAGATAAAAAATGATAAATTATTCCATCTTATTTTAATCACCAAACGAGTCCTTAAAGTATTGGCGCATGAATTCGTGCCATTTATATATTAGTCAACTTGTATATCCTGATTCAATTAGAATTTCTTTACGTAAGAGTAAAAATAGACTGAATTTAGCAAGTTTTGGAAGGTTTGAGCTCTATTTTACTTTTACATTCAGGTTTTGAATCCTATTTATCTAATACAAGCTATTTTTTAAGGCTTCATCTTGCTTTTTCAAAAGCTCAATCTTACCTACAAGCTTATTTAAAAGTCTTAATTGTAAATTGTAATAAAGAGTTTTAAATAGGTTAAAAAAATTTATCTATAGAGACTAATACCAGCCTAAATAACACAAGTCTTTAAAATCATAATAATAATAATAATAATAATATCTGACTTTATTTAAATAGACTAGCTTGTTAAATTTAATAGACTTTTTAAATAACCTAAAACTTAACCTTTTTAACTAAATAAACTTTTTTAAAAACTTAGTACGATTTATTTAGTAAATAAAGCTGCCTATCTTATGCCTGGTCTAAACTAGACTTATTTTACTCATTCTGTCACACTTAATACTCCTAATACAAGAGAGTTTGAAATCCAAGCTAAGATTTGTTGCACAGGAACTTAAGGGAAGAAAGATAGTCCTGCAAATACCAAAACCATAAAAATGCCTAATTAATTTAGAAAGTTTTCCTCTACTTCTTCTTTTTTTGCCTCTAGCTTTTTATTACTTTGTTTAGTGAACATTATTAATGCATATTTTAAGGCATGGGAGTAGGGGAGTTTTCTCTTTCAACTATTTGTGGCAATTTAAAAAAGAACTTTGGTCATAAGGAGTTAGCATCAGGAAATAAATAAACATAATTATTTTGAATGGTATTTTATATGTTTATTCCCCCCCCCCCCTCTCTCTCTCTCTCTATATATATATATATATATATATATGATAAATTATTTAATATACTCAATGTTCAACATAATTTCTATAAATAGAAACTAATACCGATAACATGACGATGAATTCTATTTACTAAAATAACGTGTTTATTAAACTTATTGAAAAATGTCAATAACAAATTCTCCACAACACTAGCAAGGTTAAAGGGTGAATAATGCCTTTTACCGTATGTGTTGGGTTGTTTTGATCTCAAGTGTAGTTGAATGTGTTAATGTGATAAAAAATTCATAAATATATACACAGAAATAATAGAGATGAACAATTTTGAAAGAGATCAAGCTGCATTGCCATTGAATCTCAACAATAATGACAAGCACACGCTCCAATCCAATGCCTGCAAAGCTCCCAAACAACCCTTTTTCATTGGTAACAAACAAATATTTTCGTTGATAGTTTTTTAAATTATTGTACTTTAATTTTTTTGTTTGTTTTTTCATGCAATGAAAACTTTTAGGGGTTGCTGGTGGAACTGCATCGGGAAAAACAACTGTGTGCAACATGATAACTACACAACTTCATGATCAACGTGTTGTCCTCATTAATCAAGTAAATAATGACACAATTGATGTTTTCCTTTTCCTTCTGTTTTGTTGAATGGAAGCAAAAAGGATTAGCTAAATTTTAATATTTTTTCCTTTTAATTTTGGCTAAACTAATGCTGGATTGTGTATACTTTTCTGGCCTATTTGTAATGATAACTATATTAGTTTCTTTATATTATTTTATATGCCAAGAATTGATACTAAAATTTTCATATAATTCGTTCACACGCAATCTCATAGGACTCGTTTTATTACTCATTAAGTGGCAAGACGCTAGAGAAAGTTAATGAGTACAACTTTGATCATCCTGGTGAGTACGTAATGAACGTTTGCTCCAAATGTGTATGGCATATGAGATAGTTTGATTTAGAATTCGTTTGAAAGTCTAATCCAACATAAGAATAATTGTCCATTACTAAATTTTCAGATGCCTTTGATACAAAGCTTATGCTTTCAAGTGTGGAGAAATTAAAATGTGGACAACCTGCTATTATACCAAATTACGATTTCAACAGTCATAAGAGAATTGAACCTGCACGTCAGGTACTAATTTGTATTTCAGAAATCAGAAATATCAGGTGAGATTTGGGTGATTATTAGTTGAGATTGAACTCCTACTTTCTAATTAAGTGTTTGATATTATTCAGCTTATATTTGTAATTGCCTCAATGTTACAGTTTTAATTCTTAATTTTATTTTTTAATGAGATTGGTGTGTTAAAAGTAATCAAGCTATTGAAATAACTTGATTGTGATACATCATAATTTACATGTCATTATGTTACTTTGTTTAGTGTAACTCCATTTTTCTAATGCATTCAATGAATATATTTTCTTCACTTTCCTTTTCATTTGGGTCACTTGTAGGTTCACCCTGCAGATATCATAATTTTGGAAGGAATATTAGTTCTTCATGATTCTCATGTTCGTGATCTTTTGAACATGAAGATCTTTGTTGATGAAGGTTGGTTATCATAGAATTTTTTTTCACTCAGTATCACCAACTTTATTTCTCACAAAAGAACATGAGAATCGAAAATTTCACTCTATATCCCTCCTTTTTTTTGTTTATAAAATGTAAGCTTAAATATGATAGCATCATAAATTTATAAAAGGATGTTTCAAAATATTGTCATTTTTTCTTTCTTGAGCTTGAATACAAGATAACATTAAAACTGTCTTTATTCTTTCTTGGGGCTCAAATTTCTTTAGAATGAAAAAATATTGTGAATTTCTTTCAATGTCATTTACTTTTTCTTATTTCTATTTCCTGATCTTTGGATCTATCAATCAATAAACACTATATTTAGTACTACTAATACAAATATATAGTTAAAAATACCACTATTGTTTAACCAATGCAGATTCCGATGTGCGCCTTGCACGAAGGATTCAACGTCTCACTATTGAACGTGGGAGGAATATTCAAAATGTTCTAGATCAAGTTAGTAAACTTACTCTTGGTATATCTATATTTATCTATATAGTATCCATTTCAATTCTCTGTTCTAGCCGCACGTTTTGTAACATTTTGAAGGAAAAATGACTGCATGTACATTACAGTTAGTGATATATTATTTATTTATGAGAGAATGCTTATGGGAATTAAGGTTATATGTTTTAAGCAATATGGTTAAGCCATAATTCTGTGTGTTGATTGAGTACCACTAGTACTCCTTTTTAAATACAACTCGTCATTTTGCTGGGATAAAAGAAAAAATCATAATGCTTTGTTGTTATAATTTCCATCTAATCACGATAGTTAAGATCCAAGGTCGTTACATTCTTCATTTGGATTATAAAGTAAACCATTTACAAAATTTCAATAATAACTTCATGTGAATTAAGTAGATAATTGTAACACAGTTTCTTTTAAGTGGAAACAAATATATTCAACTGACAAAATGATTAGCAATACGAAGCAAAGATAGATAAAGACTCAAGAAGTATCTTCTTTATATAATGGTTGAACTTTACAAGAAAAGGTTTTTTTTTTTTGTTAGGAAGTTAACTATTTTCTAAGCTATCCTTCTAGTGTACAAAATAGGTATACAAGAGGAAAAGAGGAGAACAAAAGACAAATAGTCTTGCATTGAATTATTAAAATGTGATTCATTAGGTTATCGATTATGTGAAGTTTGGATTTCAAAAATTACAAATTGGAAATGAAGTTGGTGTGCTCATTACATTACCCTTCTTAGACTTAAAGTTGTTGCTAGCTACTTTTAGTTTCATGGCTTGTTGGTGGAAACTTGTAACTACTGGTAGCATATTTCCTTCAATGTCCCTAATTGCTAAGCCAGACCCCATTCTGATTCCTGTTTAATAATTTGATATAACCTTGTTCTTAAGCTCTACATTTGATATGATTTCTCAACTTTTAGTCAATTCTATATACAAATCTCCTATATGCATTTCTATATGACCACCTTCTTCATTAATTGGTATTTATTGGTATACCCGTCAAACATGCCAAAAGCAAATAATGCTACAAGATGAGACCAAAAAAAAAGGAAAAAATGAATATACATTTTTATTTTGCCTTTGAGAATAGATAGTGATTTTATAGATTAGTTGTTTGTATGAAATAAGATTTGGTATCTGTGAATGGTGGATGAAAGTTAAATAGTAAACCCAAAAATATATCAATATAAAATGCAGAAAGCATAACCCTACATCATTGTAAGATTGATTGTGTTGATAAGATGCTTTAAATAATTTTGCAACTTTTTATTAGCATATAACGTTCAAATTTGTTTAAAATGTTTAGAAATTAACCTCCTTGACTAATTGCAAAATAAATATTCAGTATTCCAGATTTGTAAAGCCCAGTTTTGAAGATTTTGTACTACCAACAAAAAAGTATGCCGATATTATCATCCCACGTGGAGGAGATAATGATGTTGCCATTGACTTAATAGTACAAAACATACGTATGAAGCTTGGCCAACATGATCTGTGTAAAATATATCCCAATATTTTTGTTATGTGTTCAACTTTTCAGGTAAAAATTTTGTACTTGTATGCAATCTTATAGATAGAACAATAGAATGTAGGTAAATCTTGGGATGATGAATCTACATTGGTATGTGTTTGTATTTAGGTCAAGGGAATGCATACTCTCATCCGTGATGTCAAGGCAACAAAGCATGACTTTGTTTTCTACTCAGATCGTCTCATTAGACTGGTATGCAAGTTTGTAAAAAATCATAAATATCAAACATGATGACTTATTTATTGTCTTTAAAGGTTGTTGAGCATGGATTGGGTCACCTTCCTTTTACCGAAAAGCAAATCACAACACCAACAGGTACCTGTAACAATTGTATGGGTATATTATCTTATTTTGTAATAAGAAATTTTATTATTATTTTTTGGAGTAAAGTAAATCTCTTACGTTGTACCACTAAATATGTTCTAAAGTTAATAAATAAAAAGGTTAAAATGTTCTAAAGTTTATCCTTTGGCTGCAGGGTCTATATACTCCGGTGTAGTTTTTTGTAGCAGGCTATGTGGAGTATCAGTCATTAGAAGGTACATAATTCAAGTGTTTTTTTATTCTATGAATAATATTTTTTGTATAAAATAGAGTACTTGATTTGATTCTGTAGATTGCCAATTAAGATGCTTAAATTTGAGTTTAGAATTCAATTTTATTAAATAGGACATCTTATCCTAGAATGCCACAAGCCAAAGCATGTCATTCTGGATGTAAAATTTGAGAATCTTAGCCACAAAAGTGGAAATAAACATTTGTGTCTACAAAGTTATATGCAGTTTTTCACTCAAAATTGTAAACTTGAAAACTCATAAAATCGTAAATGAACTTTTTGTAAATAAGCATAAACAACATTGTTTTTTAGGAATTTTAACTTTAAAAAGCTAAATTCTTATGCTTAATATGAATAATTAAGAAATTATTTTTAAGAAACTTTTAGGAATAATTTTTAATTAATTTTTGTAAGAAAATATTGTTACTAGAGTTTTAGAAAAGAATTTATAATATAAAAATACAATTATAATCTTTAATGTTCTTAAATTTAAATATAATTTATGTTTTTTCTCTTTATTATTAATTCGTTATTATAGATTATTTAAAGAATTATTTGTGATTATAATTTCATAACTCTTAAGTTAATTCTCAAAAAAAATAAAACTCTATACACCAATTTTTTTCCTGTAATTTTTAAATGTCTAAAACATATCAAACTTGTTTATTAACACTTGTATTTGAATTACTCTCTCTTGCAACGTTAACATCAGTGGAGAAAGCATGGAAAATGCATTAAGAGCATGCTGTAAGGGAATCAAAATTGGTAAAATCCTTATCCATGGACATGGTACAAACGGTCGACAGGTTAATGAAAGCAAAACATTGTTCCACTTTGCATTTTCCTTTTGTTGTGGCACTTAGCTTTTGTTTATTATCTCATAATCTCACACACTGTGATGCAGTTAATCTATGAGAAACTCCCATCAGACATTGCTAGTCGTCATGTGTTGCTACTTGATCCAGTTCTGGCCACAGGTTTTCAAACTCTGTTTCAAAAAATTTTCTTTATAGAAAATACTTGTGTCGGCCCCTTTATAAGCACAAAATGTTTCTAGCTAAACTTTTCAATTTTTTTCTTTTAGAAATTTTTATGCAATTACAAATGAAAATCATATAATAATATATAAATGATAGTATTTTACTAATTTATATTAAATTTTGAAACATGACTACTTTCCCTTAATTTTAAAAAATAACTTTATTTTAATTTTGTTTGTTATACTATAGTCCCACATGTCTTGTAATATTTTAAATTCATATTGTTGTATTATTGTTTCATAATTTTTCCTAGAGTCTAATAGTTGTAATTATCAGGAAATTCTGCAGTGAAAGCTATCTCTCTGCTTCTCAAGAAGGGTGTACCAGAATCTAATATTATATTTCTAAATTTAATAGCAGTGAGTCACTTTGAATTTTTGCTTCCTTTTTCTTACTTGTGTTTAGCAAATTTGGATTCCTTGCACCATTACTAACAAATGTGCATGATGCAGGCACCAAATGGAATAAACGCTGTTTGTGAGAGATTTCCAATGATAAAACTTGTAACATCAGAGATTGATGCATCATTGAATGAGAATTCTCATGTGATCCCTGGCTTGGGTGAGTTTGGTGATCGTTACTTTGCCACTGATGATTAGCACAACAAGCAAGTTCATAGTTGAGTGACGCCTTAGCCAAACTTGCTTCAAGTTTTCAACTAGTAGATTTAGTTTCATGATAATATAATATCACTATCGATAACAAATTTGATGACAGAATTTATATGAACATGGAGAACTGTTAAATTATGAAATTATTAGTGGCTCACATGAGATGAAAACATTAAAATTATGAACAGAAGTTCTATATTAATTAGTGCAATATCTAATGTTGTTAACCAATTTGATAAACTTCAACGGTGACAGGTTCTGTAAAATGTCCTGCAGATTGAGATATCTTAATAATGAATAACCGAAAACTTGGTTGCTGATAATAAGAGGTCACTAATATATAACTTTTTTTGACATTTCATAATGCTATAGCATTGTTTTTTTATGAACTTACAATGGCATCGTGATGCCTTGTGAATCTTAGTTATAGTTAGAATGGTCCATGTATAAATCAAGCTTCGAAAAAGGCTATACAGTCATTAACTTCTATGCATAATAATTCAGACACTATTTACCAAGAAGGACACAAAAAAAGGACAGCAATCATTGACCGAAGACCATATTCATGCTTTTTGAAAATATCAATCTTGTTATATATATATATGCCCTTGCTAATTAATGTGCAATAACTTAATCAATGTATGAAGCAAACAAACATCGTTGAATATATACTCAAAATCATGGCCATTTATAAGTTTATTTAGCCTTCAAGAAATTTGGTAATTACATATAACCATGTAAAAGAACATTATACCAATAGTGGGGAAATCATGAAATGATTGCTAAATGATTAGATAAAATAAAAGTAGCTACCATCTTCTTGAGAAAAGTAAAGAATGAGATTAGGCTAGGGACTAAGAAAACAACTACATACCTGTTTTAGTACACAAAAGGTCCTAACATGCTAAGCTGTGAGTACTGCTTAAGAATAAATGAATAATTATTTTATTAATCCTCCAACTCAATTTAAAATATATATAATAATTGATGGGCACTATATTTAATTTGCTTTTTTAATGTAATTTTCTTTTCTTACACTTTACAAAGTGAAAACAAAATCTCAGGAAACGATATGTTGGTAGAATTTTAATCGCCTCAGAAGTGGGAAATTCCAATCACTGCACCGCAGTCCCTGCTACAAAATTAATTTGGTTGACCAATTAGTCATCACCTACAAAGGATACAGGTTAATGTCTCAGAAATATTTCAAATCAAACTGTCAAGAGTTTTAAAGCTTAGCACCCAAACAATTAGAGTGGTTGGTATTAAAGGTAACTTCAATATAATATATTTCAATAGGTGGAAAGTGAATACACATCCACCTCTTCCCTTAATATATATTTTTTTAACTTATGAATGAGAATAATGCTAAATGGTAAGGATTATTTTGGCAATATTTCTTTTCTATGATGTCAATGAGAATTAAAACATTCTCTTCCTGCGTACCGTTGTTCAACACTTTTATTGGTCATTAGCAAGTGTTAAGTTTAGTATAAGCTATTAATTTCTTATAAGATGATATATTATGGTTCAAATCCTTGTTGCTATAAACATATATATATTTAATGGCTTATTGTATTTTGAATAAAATTAATTTTTGTGAAAGACTTCCGTAAAAAAAATATATTGGTCACTACCGAATAGAGATATTATTTTTAACACCAAATATCTTTAGTATCAATTTACAAACGTTCAAATAATTAGTTTGAGATTTTTTATTTTTTATTTTATAATTATACATACCATGATCAGAATTATATCAGTATTCTGTAGCTCTATGAATCCCCACTGAAATAATTTAACCTGTGATAATATTGTGTAGTTGTGTGACCATGTATGTTTCATTTATCTTCTTTTCAAGCTCGTAGAAAGTGATTTGGGTAATCACCCGTTATTATTTCGCTCTTAAAATTGTATTACGTTTGTTTTAAATAATAATAATCTTGTTAAAACAAACAAAATCCATTTCATATAGCGTTTCAATGAAGTCTCATTGATTAATTAATAATAATTTGTTGTATAATACTTAAAGCTACAGCTTAATTTAACCATTTGCATCTGAGTTTCAGAAGGTAAAGTCTTCAGTAAAATTTAATGAATTAAAAGTATATATTATAAATTTCTAAAAGTAGTTAATGCCGGAGTAACATTACTATATATCTTCCGTTTCTAGATTAATTTCAATGAATCGACCTATCCCATTTATGTGTGTCATCATCTCAATGCCACCATTTTCAAAATTAGAACATAAAACCTTCAACTTCAATAAAGAGCACCTTAAATTAACCTCCTAAGCTAGTGGGATCTTCAACAAATCAATCTTGGGAAAAGTTCATTATATAAAGACTTCAATTCCTAGAGTAGTTCTCCATCCACAGCTCTCAAGTTACAACTAGTCCTTAGTTAACACACCAACCACACATTCAAAGGTTCATTTCAATGGCAACCATGTCAAGTTTTGTTCCTTTGACCGTCCTCAGTATAGTTGTATTAGTAGTTGGAGGCATTGTGTCTGGGGCAGAAGCTAGGCCAAGGGCATTCTTTGTGTTTGGAGATTCACTTGTTGATAGTGGAAATAACAATTACTTGGCTACCACCGCACGTGCTGATGCCCCTCCTTATGGAATTGATTACCCTCCATCTCATAGACCAACTGGTCGTTTCTCCAATGGCTACAACATTCCTGATCTTATCAGTTAAGTTCACATATCTCATTCACTTTTTCTGTTCCCCACCTTTTTAGGTTCAACATTCATCTTTTTAACTTTCGTTTTCATCATGCACATTGGAACCCTTTTTGTTAATGTGCCATTACCTATTGTAATATAGAGTTTAATTTTAATATGCTGTTAATACAAAATTTTTTACACCATTAATTAATCAAACATTATTTTAGTTATAACTTTTAAAGTAATTATTATAAAAGTTTATAATCTTTATTAATTAGATTTATAAATTATAAACTATGCATAGTTTCAAAGTACATACATGTCTAACAGTTGGGTTGTTCAGGTCAACGACTTGGTGCTGAGTCTACATTGCCATATTTGAACCCAGAATTAACAGGACAGAAGCTCTTAGTTGGTGCCAATTTTGCTTCAGCTGGAATTGGAATCCTTAATGACACTGGAATTCAGTTTGTATGTGCATCAGAATACATAAACATGACCCAAGATAAATTTTGAAAAAATAAAAACATTTAGTTTGTAAATTTTAAAATTTAAGGCTAATTATAAGGATTGCACTTGAAATTGATTGTGTGGAACTTATAATTTGCAGGTAAATGTAATCAGAATGTATAGACAGCTAGAGTATTTTAAAGAGTATCAGAACAGAGTGAGTGCTCTAATTGGAGCTTCACAAACTAAGAGTCTAGTGAATCAAGCACTAGTCTTAATCACTGTAGGTGGCAATGATTTTGTAAACAACTACTACTTGGTGCCAAATTCTGTAAGGTCTCGCCAGTATCCACTGCCAGCATATGTCAGATATCTCATCTCTGAGTACAAGAAGCTTTTGCAGGTAACACCCTATTGATTAAACACAAGGACAAAGGTTAATTAATGTCTTATGATACTTATTTTTCTCAAATATGTATGCATTGTAGAGGTTATATGATCTTGGAGCTCGTAGAGTTCTTGTGACTGGCACTGGGCCTTTGGGTTGTGTTCCTTCAGAATTGGCCCAACGTGGAAGAAATGGACAATGTGCTGCTGACTTGCAACGTGCTGCAGCATTGTTTAACCCTCAACTTGAACAAATGTTATTACAACTCAATAGGAAAATTGGAAGGGACGTTTTTATTGCTGCAAACACAGGACAAATGCACAACAACTTTGTCAGTAACCCATCAGCATTTGGTATGTGACACTAAACTATGTACTAACTTTCACACAAGGTTGCCATGCAGCCATTGCTTTCTTTTACTCATCTATTGGTTGCTTTGTTCAGGGTTTGTTTCGGCAAAAATAGCTTGTTGTGGGCAAGGACCCTACAATGGTCTTGGGCTATGCACAGCACTCTCCAACCTGTGCCCCAATAGAGATTTATATGCATTTTGGGATGCATTCCATCCATCTGAAAAGGCCAATAGGCTTATTGTCGAGGAGATCATGTCTGGTTCTAAAACTTACATGAACCCAATAAACCTCAGCACCATCTTAGCTTTGGATGCTATTAACACATGAAGATATACACGAACCCAATAAATCTATGCACTTTGTAATGGCCTCACATGCCAGTTTCATGATGTTCATTGCTGCTTTCTTTTATTGTAATTGTGATTTAGTTTCATATTCCTCAATATCTAATTGGTGAATTAGAATATTAGCGGAAGACAAACTTCCTTTTACTTAAAATTAATGGAGAATTTAAATGGTGGAAAGTACTAAGTAATTCTTGAGTCTCAGTATTAATAAAATGTTATTTTTATATTTTCTTTTATACCAATATAAAGTGAAAGAGAAAAGCTCACATTTTTACTTTTTTTTCCTTTTCTTTAAACTTCTATGTATCTAAAAATGAAAAACAAAAAGAAAATTCGTCCACTTTTTGCACCAAAAAACTTTATCATAAACAACTAAAAGTATTATGTCACAAATAATTAGCTACCATTAAAAAAAAAAAAAGGTACACTCAACTAACTAATGTGTTTGATATGAAAGAATGAAGAGCATTGCTAAATGGTATGAATGAATTTGGTGGAAAAAATGACGAACTCACCTGTTTAAAACTTACTGGTTAATTAACAAATTAAAAATAACATAAAAAGAAAGTGTTTGATGAAAATATAGAAGATAATTGTGTATAGTTTTTGTCGAATTCGTCTCGTACTATTTCGCATTTCTCAAGAATGAAATATACTTATTTACATTCATTCGCTAAATCTTATGTTTGCTTATTAAAAAGAAAAAAGAAATAGGGTATGAGTGTTTTCCATTTTTAAGAGTTTTTTCTAAATATAGTATAAATTTATACTATATTTAGAAAAAAAATTGAAAACTCTTTTTAGAAGATAAATCAAATATACTCTTAGTAATTTGGTTTTTAAATTTTTTATATTTTTATCGTTTTTTTTTTTGTTTGGTTTCAATTTGATATATTGATTAATTGTGACATTTAAAAATTATCAGAGTTAAAAGCAAACATAATTTATGAGAATAAAAAATTGCTAAAATTAAAAATTGGGATAAATTAATTAAAACCAAATACAATGATAAAAGATTAAAATAAAACAAAAATAAACAAAATAAAAAATAAAGTATTATTTAAGTTATTCAATTATAATTAGCATCCCATAAATGTATAGTGGTGTCCTATTTCCACAAATCTGATGGATTCTAACATTCTCCCTGGCACTTCAATAAGCAACGGAAGAATGTGTTGGGTAAAAGTTTGCATCTCTTTTCCAAATTGTGAGATGGATTGTAAATCGTTAATTGAAAGGTTTTTTAACAAGATGATTAATATTGTAGCGTAAGAAAATCAACAGGTGAACTTTGCTGAAGGATAGTTCTATAATTTCCTAAAGCTTAGTGGCTTAACTGCATGTAAGTTGTTTAAATAGCCATCTTGTTTCTTTGTTTATTATTTTGTTGAAAATTCTTGACATTCCGAGTGGTGGAGACTATAGTAATAAAGAAGGAATAAGAAGATGGAAGGAGATAGTTTTTTTCTTCATGTAGGGTAGAATGTGTTAAAAGATTGTAAGCCAATGAATTAGTGTTTGTTCGTTCAGAGTCCAGTTTGTATATTGACTCAAATATTGGTTATGTTTTATTATTTGTCTTTGATGTTGTAGTCACAGGTGGATTGTTTTACTCAAATGTGTTGAAGAGCTTTGTGAAAGGTGGGTTATTAATCTGTGTTATTTTTATATTGATTTTGGGAAAAATATGTGAGATGAGAGGAATATTTTGTTTGTTGTGTTGTTACTTTGGGGGAGTGAGATATAATAACTTTTCAGTACATAAATCTTCCAACATAGTGTATACAGAGGCTGTACAGCGAGGTATTTTATTTTGGGTTTTATCTTCTTCTTTTTTTACCAAATATATATGGTATGTTGTATAACAATGAAATTTGTTATGGACTATGATAAATGATTTGTTTATTTTGCAACCAAAAACCTAGGCCTTCTTCATTGCTGGTTTGTTGAATGATGTTTGTGTTTGATGGTTGTTCTTCATGTTATTTTATTGAATATGTTACTGTGTAAAGCAATGAAATTGTTGTTTGCAGAATAGACATTCCATATTTTTTTGTGGCATAAAAATTTAAAGGAGTGTAAATGAAGACATTTGGCTTGCTGAATCATGGAATGAGGGTTTGATTATTTATTTGTTATTTGTTGTAATAAAAATATTTATTGTGCATGGCTTAGTGTTATATGTTGGTTCTAAAACAAATATTTATCCGTTGTGATCATATGTTTAGGTTTTCAAATTTGGTTAAACTAATTTGAATGTTGGTATATGTTTCTGGTTTGCAAATTTTTTTCCTACAATGATGCATTTCTGTTACGTTGATTATCTATGTAATAACAATTTTGTATTTAGAATTCCATCCCCAATTTACGTGTAGAGGATGTGTATATGGCATGATATTTTATGGTATGTTAATATGTACAATTTATCATTTGTCATATGACATTAGAATGCTATATGTTTTCTGATATGTATATTTTTTGAAAATTTGTGTGCAAAGGGTGTAAATGGCATATGGTCCATTAGTTAGTCCAAATAAATGTTGCAGATTCGATGTGATGTATGGTGAGGGTACATCTAAATCAAAGTCAATGTGATTTTATTTACCCCTTTGATCTAGAAGTAGTTAGTTCCTTTATTAATATTATTTTAAAAAAATTATTAATTAGTAGATATAAAAATTTTGAAGTTTGAGTTGTTTGCATTGTAATATTTGGTTATAGCATCTTTTAAAGATTTCATTAGTTTTCTTAACATCATTTTTTCATTCCATTCCTAAAATTATTTCATTGCATTGGTAGCAAAATTAAATTAGATGTTATAAGAGCTTAAACAAATCTATTTCTTAGCCATAAATTGTTAGATTTTTAGTATTAATATTTATATTAATTTGTGGATTAGCATTATTAAATTATTATAGATATATTGTTATTAATTATGAAATAAAATAAATATGCATAATTATTATTAATCGTATAGATTTATGATTGGGCTCTTAGTGAGAATGACCCGTGATGGGTTGGGCCATTCTATGTGTCTAATGAGAGGTTCCTGCTCTCATCTGATTAGGTCATAATTGTTGCCCCATTAGATAGTTACTTGTGTGAGATAATAACAATCAGAGAAGAGAGTAGTACACATTCACTTGTAAAGAAGAACTGCTTATGGATCGTGCGTTCTCATCAGGTACGCATTTAACGCAGTTATGTAATTACATATATATTGTTGAAAATTTATTGAGATGTTATGATGTGTGTTATGTATGATCAACAATACATTTATAATTTTAAATAAATTCTGCAATTGGTATCAGAGCCAGGTTTCTAATACACATCGTAATTTTCCAACTTTGAAAAATCAAAACGCTATAATTTTATATATGAATTTGAAAAATAATTTAGGGCTTTTATTCCTCTTATATTCATAAATTTCATATAAAAAAATTGTTAATTTGCGTTGAGTATGTATAATTTTCCTTCAAATCCTCTCAAAAGGGCAATTTTATTTATTTTATTTGAAAATTGATTGAGGAATTTTGTTAATAAATTGAATAGAACATATCCTAATAATTAATTTGTTTTGATTCAATTTCCTCAAACCAATTTTTTTTTTCTCTCAACAAATTGCCATAGGATTTTGTTGTACATATCATAAAGAACGTAATAGACCCTTACTCGTTGAAAGAAACTGCCTGAGTTGCTTGAATTTTCACTTTGAATTCTCCATGGCCGCGCGCGTGGAGGATGCTTTAGGTCTATTTGGGTTCAAAAATAAAAATAATAATAATTATCCCTTTGAAATTAAATTTATGATATTTTGGACATTTTTTTTATAATTTTTGGGCATTGTAGATATTTTTAATTAATTAGTTTGTGTCTAAATTAATTAAATAACTACTGTGTTGATGAAATTATGACATTGTTTTATACTATTTACTCTCTTTTGAAATGTCATATATGTTAAATTTAATTTTCTTGATTTTATATAAATTATTTGATGTAACTGTGGTATAATTGTGATTTCATGCATAATATATGTATTTAAATTAATTATGAATGCATGATTATTTTGAATAAATGTCATCTCACCTATCGTGAGACCATTTATACATGACTTGTGTAAACTATATAAATATATATTGCAGTAATAATAATTATATCCTATCGATGTATTGTTATTAATGTGATTTGAAAATACTACGCAATTGTGTTTTACTTATGTCAATATTGTACTGATACTCTATCGGTGTTAGGATTCTTGTGACATAAGCTTTGTGCATTGTATTTGTTTTTCTTATTTATTGTGATCTAGGACCCTTAGGCGGGATCACAGTGAGTAAGAAAATTTTGTGATGGACATATTATTGTTGCACTTGAATTAATTGCAAAAATATTTAATTTTATTGTTTCCCACATCAGTGTCTATGCCCACTTCGGTGAAAATCTTGAATGGGACTAATTATGAGGATTAGAAGGAATCTCTGGATTTGTATTTGGCTATGGCCAACATTGACTTAGCTTTGAGGGAAAAAGAGCCACCCGTTCTTAACATTGAGTCAACTGCTGATCAAAAGACTTATCGTGAGAAATGGGATCACTCGAATCGAGTGTGTTTGATGGTGACCAAGTTCACCATGGAGAAGTCGATCAGACAGAGTATTGCAGAAAGTGACAATGCTACAACCTTCCTGAAATCTGTTGGAGAAAAGTTTAAGACTTTTGATAAAGCTGAAAAGAGTCAATATTCCTCACTCTTTGATAGAGCCAGGTATAATGGTGTTAGTGGAGTTCGTGAGCATATGCTGAAAATGGTGCATTATCGCAACAAACTCAAGGGGATGAAGCTTGAGATTGATGATGGTTACTTGATTTGGAAGATTCTAGATTCACTCCCTCCTCAATTTGATGTTTTGAGGACTTCCTATAACACTCAAAATAATCATGAGTGGATCGTTGATGAAACCATTGCCATTGTCACTCAAGAGGAAGAGGCTATGAAGAAGGGAAAGTCTCAAGTCGTTCAATTTGCCGAGAAACCTTACAAGAACAAGCTTACTAACTCCTCTTTTAGGACCAATGTTACTCGTAAGAGTCACAATGAAAGGTTTAAAAATGACGACAAGAAAGCGGGAAAGAATGTTCCTTAT